TTACATAAAGAGATAGGACGATAGTCAGAAAAAGATTTAACAATAGTACTTTTATGTATTAACACAATAGCAGAATGCTTCGCCATATTTAGAAACTTAGAAGTAAGAAAAAATGTTTAATAACTGAAATAAAATCATTGACAACAATATCCCAAGTATCTTTAAGAAAATTTGAAGAAAAACCATTCGAGCCATGGGATTTATTAGAGCTAATAGAAATTAAAGCCTTTTGAATATCTTTAGTAAAAAAAAAAAACTTTGATTCAATAAAGAGATATCATCAACATAAACAAAATTTTTAATAGGAAAATTATTTCCTAAAAGATGGTCATTATTTGCAGAATTGTTAAGTGAATCAGAATAAAAATAAATAGCTTCCCTAATGATATCCTCATGATTATGAATAAAGTTTCCATCAACCAAAACTTCATTGATAAAATTAAAATTATGACAAATTCTCGCTTTTTGATAAAGGTATTTGATATCATCCTCTCATTTAGATAACCAAGAGCATTTAGCTTTTTGTTTAGCCCATTTATACTCACAATAAGTGGCATTAGAGATATTCTCTTGGACATAAGAAACTTGTCTCAGAAGATTATTAGAAAGAGAAGAATTTTCCATCCGAAACATAATCTTCTTCGGCTAATCCTTAAGATCAAAATTATAAGAAGATAAAATAGTCAAAGAATTTCAATGCCAATTCTTAAAAGCCAACTTAACATTACAAAGCTTATTATGAAAAGAAAAAATTGAATCATCTTTCACAATAATCTTCCAAGCATTATCAATAATATTAAGAAAGTCAAGACATAAAATCCAATAATTTTTATACAAAAATCTACAATGCACATTATAAGAGTTACCCAAAGAAACTAAGATAGAATGACGATCAAAAGAGTAAGCATTTAAGACTTTATAATAAGAATGAGGGAAAGAATCAATCCATTGAGCATTACAAAGGGCATTATCAAGCAAACATCTAATATAATTATTCAATCGGTTGTTAAACCAACTAAAAAAATAGCCAAAATTGTGAAGCTAAATAAGACCATAATTTAAGATGCAATTATTGAAATCATTTAGTTTACTAGGAAGAGGAGGAACAACCCAATTTCTCATTAACCCTGAGAATATAATTAAAATCACCAAGAATGATCCAAGGAGAAGTTAAATTATCAGCAATATTACAAATAAAACTCGATAAAGGTTTCCTTGCATGAGATTTATTATCCACATAAATAGTCGTCACATAGAAATTAATGAAAGAAGAGACACAAACAAAACCATAGGTGAATTGAGCATCCATATCAATAACAATAAAGTCAAGTAGTCTTTATTCCATTTAATTGAAATCCTCTCATTTTTGTGAAAATGAGAATTTTCCACACATCCTTCATTAGGAAAAATTTAAAAATGTGATAAAAAACATAGGATCATAATAATAAAGAAGTATTGAATTTAGTTTCTAAAATACACAAAAAATCAAAATTAAAATCTGTAAGAAAGTTTTTGCTATCAACTAAACAGGTTTCACTATTAAACCCTCTCACATTCCAACCAGCTAACGTAGGATAAAACATACAGTAGTCAAAAAGAAAATAACAAAGAAACAAATCATCTAGATGCACCATTCTTACTTCTAATAGAGACATTAGAAGTAGAAGAATTGCTAATAAAAACATTTTTGATAATATTTATAACATTAAAATTAGAAAATTTATTCACAACCATATCGTTGCCTTGAGAAGTAGTTTTGATAGCAACTCCATAGTTAACCTTAACAACATTATACTGAATAGCAATGTTGTTAGAAAGAATAAGAGCATGTAAAAAAGCATTATTTCTATTAACACCATTTAAAACATTGTCCTGAGAGGCCTTCCTCAAAACAATATCAAGAGGATTAGAAAGGGATGTAATAAAGAACCTGAATTTACATCAAATGATACCTCAACATTAACAACATTATTTAAATTAGAGATCAAGAGGATTAGAAAGGGATGTAATAAAGAACCTAAATTTACATCAAATGATACCTCAACATTATCAACATTATTTAAATTAGAGTTGTTAATATCAATAGTTGATTCATTAATGACATTGAATAACATCGAAAAAATTAAGATGAGGAGGAATAGAAGTAGAGTTTAGAACCTGAAGTTTATTAGGTCCTTGAGAAGACCTAATATTATTAACATATTTACTTCTATAAATATTATTTCCCACAGGATTCAATCTAGAATGATTACTTCCTCTCAAATTAGAATTAACAATAACAGGTAGAGAAAAAGATTTTAGACAGTTAGAGGGATTGTGAGAAAACATAGAGCAAACATCACAAGAATCTGCCTTTCATTCATAAACAATAGGAATACCAGATTCTTTATTTTTAAAAAAAATAATAATATACTTAAGAAGAAGAGGTGAATCTATATTAATTTGAACGTTCAACCTAGCATACGATAACATCAAACATTTAATTGTCAAAGAATCAACCCCAAGGGGTCTGCACATCTTACTAACGATTTTAGAAATCCCATTTTCAGTCCAAAAAAACAAAGGAAGATTTGGGGATTTAACCCATGGTTTAAAAATTACAGATCATTTTTTAAAGATAAAATGTTTTCTACAAATGAACTAAGGACTAGTAGATAAAATCATATCAAGATTCCTCAAATGTGTAAATTTAACAAGAAAAAAAAACCCTTAGATAGAGAAAGAAGAGCAGCTAAACCCTTCAGTTTCTAGATCTTACCAATCAATTGAAGGAGGTTCTCATAAAAAAGCCTTCTGCCTAAAACTTAACCTACCAACACATGATCCAAAGGTTCGGATCTAGCCTCAACCTCATAAGCAAGAAAGTGATCTTATCATATGCACAAGGAACATAAGAAAGATCAAACCCACCGGAGTTAGAGAGATTAGAAGTAACTAAACCCTTCCAACTTAAAGGTTATGCAAGAACATGAGCCAAACAGGGCAGAGATGAGCGGAATGGAGGAAAAGAAGAAGCCATTTAAAAAAACAAAGTAGGAGCAAAGCCTCTAAAATCCTAACCGAGATCAAAATGGATAAAAAGGAAGAGAGATTTGAAGATTTTCCCAAGCTAAAGGGAAGAATCATGAAAAAATTAAAATTAGACGAAGAAACCCTTGAGTGTTTAAAAAGGTTGCCAGAGCTCTCATGCTCGTCAATTCTTTCTCATATCTTTCCCTTGCTATTTCCTTCTTTGCACTTTAACCCCTAACCGTTTGTCTTCTCCCCTCACCTCACTCTCACTCTTTGTTTCTCTATTTCTCTTTCTCATCTTGTTATACTTAGTTCACATAATTGCACACAGGTAATTGAAAAATATGATTGAATATTTTTAATTTAGTGTGAGTTTAAAGTTGACATAAAATAGATATTTAGTCCATAAATATAAATTGTTAAATTCAATCCTAAAAATAAATAAAAAATCACAGATTTTTCATTTTGAACCATTACGAAGCTTCCATCCAAAATATCAATTCTCCCACGCCTTTTATGTAAATTTATCTATCCTAACTCTGCTATTTCTATAAAATTTGACTACATATATCTGAACTAAAAAATCCAGTGAATTATCATTTTCAAAGCATTATCTCAAATAAAATCAAACAAAAGGAAATAAAAGAATAAATCACAATAAATCATTACTACAAAATTTAACTTGATTATATGTTTTCTTTTTGAGTTAAACTTAATCCTAAAAATTGAACTTATATAATGCATTAGCACAACTTTCATGTTTTAAATTATTTACAAGCAAAGTAATATATCAAATAACTCAAACTACAAATGATGATTAAAAAATAATTTATATGAGCCATGTTAGCACAATGAAAATGAGGCGGTATATAGTTGAACATCGAGGTTGGTGAAGTGAGAAGATTGAGAGCTTAAGTGATCCGCAGTGGATGCATAGAATAGTGGTTGGTACTCGAACACCAATTGTAGGTGGATGAAAATGCTAAAACAAATGAGGATAATTGGGGGACGAGATGAGGACGCAAATTTACCCAGAGATTAATGTCAGAGGAAGCTTGTGTGACGCGGGGACATTACAATAGATTGAATTCAAACGTAAAGAAATGGGAAATAAGGGCATAAGGTTGGGTCAATAACATTTTATAATTGCATCCAATTACCAATCAAGTTGTCGCAAAATAATACAAATATCATAGCACATATCAAAAAGTAGAGAATTTTAAATTTGTTTTCCATGAGTATTTACTCATACCATCATTTATTCTCAATTTCTTATGATGAATATAATGTATACTATCATTCTCCAAAACTATAATAAAATTATTTGTGTATTAAGATATTTATGCTCCCACATATATTACATATTTGTTTGTTTGTTTGTTATAAGTTATATGAGGTTGTTTTGCAAAAACATCTTTACAAACTTCTTGGTTTAATCAACTTACTCAATCACACTTATTTGTTATATAATCAACTCATGCAATCATATTTAGAGTCCCATATCTCAATAACAGCTCATCCCAACCAATTAGCATTATGACATATCATACCTACAGAATTGATCAAATGGGTCATCAAATTTGTATATTGTATTTTTTAACATTATTGTCATCATATATTACTCGTATACTAATATAACACACATCATATTTTTACTTACATTTATATATTATTGAGCGAATTGTTTATATTCAACTTCTATATTGCCTTCAGTTGATTACTTTGAAACATGAAGTTCATAATAATTTCTATTAATGCTACTTCCGCCACTTCATAGTCAATTCATTGCATTTATGTCATGCTTTCAACTTAGAAAATAAAACTATAAGGAATGATAGAGAGGATATATTTCACATAAATTCCAACAAATATGACCCTTTGATAGAGACTAAATTGATAAGACTTCAATAATGTTGATTGAGCTAAGATGCACTATTCAAATATTAACTTATACCATATCATTTATAGCATAACAAGTATCTACTACTTATTTTAGCAATGGATATAATGTCATAATGACCTCTATGCATATGAGACAAGGAGGCGAGATCGAAGCCGCAGCGCCCGCGAGGTCGATCTGCGAGAAGGCATAGAGAGTGAGGGCGTAATACGAAGAGCAGAACGATGGGGTGGATTGGGGACAACTTGGAGTCCATCCGTTCTTTACAGATCCGGCAAGTCCTGACACAAGCTGTGAGCCTAGGTCCTTTCCTTTTATCTTCCCCTTTTACTCATGAGACTGTGATGAATGCTCCGGATTATGATTTTTAGGGTTTTTGCTGTGAAGTAGATATAGTTTGTTAGGTGATCCATTATTTTATCCCCCTGTTTTTTGGTCGCTGTTGAATTTGCCATTGTCAAAGACGCACATAAGCTTATAATTTTCCTTTCCTTAGGTTAGAAAGTTTAATTGGTAAAGATCGTTGTTGGTTGATCTCAGTTGTTTCCTAGTTTATCGAAATTACGTTGGCAGTGATGGATTATCATCCGTGTACGCAGGCATGATTGTAACTTCGGCGCTGATAATATGGAAGGGGCTTATGTGTGTTACCGGAAGTGAGTCCCCTGTTGTTGTAGTTCTCTCTGGAAGCATGGAACCGGGGTTCAAGAGGGTGAGTTTCACTAAGCTTTGTATTTTGCTGTTATTGAAATATTGGTTGAGCATTCATTTATGGAAATATACTTTTTTTGCTGCAAAATGATATGAACTTATGTAGGGCAACAAACCTGTATCTCTGAAGCAAGTGTAAAATCACTCTACAAGGATGCTGTTTTAGAGACTGTTTCAGTTCTTATTTTTTTTGTGGTGGATGACATTTTAGCTAAATATAGGATACCTTGTGTACAGATATCTTAATCAGAAAAGATTATGGAAATCAAAATAAGGCCATTGAAATGATCCTGAAGGGGAGAGGCACAAATTTTTTCTGCTCTGATGTTGGTCACCAACTTTCTCGCCAAACTTGCAGCAACAATTCTACTACTAATATGCAACCTCTTATTTTGTTTCATTGTGGATGCAAATTGATATTAGAGACATATGTGCTAAATGCTTCCGATGTAGAAGCATCAAAATTAAATCAAATCAATATTTCCTTGAAAGGTTCAAGGAACTATCTTGACTGAATTGGCTTAGATTTGTGACAAATTAATTTTTTGTTCTTGGGCATTTTAACCCAAGCCTACTTAGAGATGAGAAATGGAGTTTTTGGGTTGACTGTTTGAACTCAAACCAATGTGCTAGTTCGTACCAACATTTGTGTTAGGAAGTTATTTACATAGTGCATGGAGCTTCAAAATGGTACTAGATCCAACACAAATCGATACTGACTTTCATTATGGATCACACTGTTGCTCTCAGCTGTGCACAATTTGTATGGAAATGTGTTCTCATCGCTCATATTGTCTATCTTTTTTATTTTTAGGACTTATTCACATTATCTGCTAGATCAATAATGGAATTTAAATTTGAATATTTTGAATATCACTTCAGACTCTTGAAAGTCTACTTTTGTGGACTATTTTTGTGAATTTTTGGATCGCAAAGGAAACATTCCCTTTCCCCCTTATGGAGTTTGTGCCTAGCAGCCCATGCTGGTGAAGGACTCAGGTTACCCTTATATTGCCCTATTTGATTGATTTTGGGTCATTGTTATTTATTGACTTATTTTGATTAATATGGATTTTTAATATTGATGTTATTTATTAACTCAAATAATGACTTCCCTTTATGTCATTTTTTAAGTTGATGAAATTATTAATTGGGTTATGGAGGCTTAAGTTCCTTGGGCCATATTCCGTAGAGTTATTGAATTAAAACTATTTCCAAGTTTTAGAACATTAGTTTACAATCGGATATGAGAGGGGATCATTGTTGAAGACACTGGTGAAACTATAATGCAATAGGATTTTGAGACAAACCTTGTTCCTAGAAACCATCACAAGCATGCGCTGAAGTGTTCTCTGTTTGGATATTTATGAGCTTGGCAAATGGTCTTGTATCATTGTAAGTATAAAAAATTGCCTGTGTGCATGGAAGTTGAATTCAAGGTGGCAATAGAAAATTTTTAGTTCTCTCCTCTACACGTTATAGCCACTCTCTTGTTCTTTGTATGCTATATTCCATGGTTCTTTTTGAGAATTAATATTTGGTTGGTACTTTTTTCAAAATGTTTTTCGTGGGCATATGGAGCACTTGTTTTTGCAAGGAATCATGTTAATTCTTGCTGCACCTAACGTTGGACATACCATTTTGTAGGATTGTTGGTGAAATTTTGTCATGCTCTATGACATGCTTTTGGGAAACTAATATGGCGCCTCATCTTTGAAGCACCTTTTCTCAACCCCTTTCTATATTTCATTCAGCATATTTCATTAATTAAGATTATGTTAAGATTAACATTTCCATTGTAAGATTGCTATATTTTTTTTTCTTTTTAGGCGAATATGTTGAGTTTTTTTATATAACGTGTGATGGTGTAATTGTTTAATATGTATATGACAACATTTAACCTCAGTCAATGCGAATATATGAACACTTAAAGTTGGTCGGTCTCATAACAAATTGATTTGTTTTTCACTGCAATCTGCAATTGGTATGATTCACTCTAGGAATTAGAATATTGTAGATTTAAGGCTTACTTGCACTTATACCTTGTGTATGTCCTTATTTAGAAGCCAAAGTACTATACATAATTACATCATGAGAACTCCAAGCTAATAGCGAGAAAAAGGTTGTTTAAAGTCATGCATTGTTAAATTTTTATCATCATATTTGTCAACCCCAAAAATAAGGATAATCTAACTATTTTATTGTCATTATAATAAACATTATTCATCACCATAATTAGGCTTGACTATTTGGATAAACTTTTTGCATCCTTTGTTTAACCCAATCGGTATTTATTATTTATGCAAGTGTTTTTTTACAACCTGTAGCCAATCACAGTTATTCTCTTCTTGCTCTTTCCCATGCCCTTTACATGATTTTAAATGCCTACTGCAATATTGATATACCTTCTGCTTAGTGTGTGATATGCCCGAAAAACATAACCTTGTTTTATACTAGCTTGTCTTGGTCGGTGCAAGCCAAAATCTCTCAATTACCATTCTTCTCAACATTCTCATTTATAGCTAAATCATACTGTTTAAGCTTTAGTAAATTTTTATACCAGCTATTGTTACACATCACATTCTCATTTATGTCATATTTCCATCTTAATATTATCATTCTATCACATTTAACAATTTTATTTGTTTTTATTAAACATTCACACTGAATATTATACAGTTTGAAAAAAGTAGAATTTTTTATTTTGTTAACATGTTGATGGATGAATAGGAATGCATGAGCATTCAAGGTTTACATCTGGTAAACTAATCTCACGCCACTGTTTGATAAAGTTGATTTCAAATCTCTTAAATCAATTGCTTAGAGAATAATATGCCTCTTTCAATTTTTTGTATTTAGTTAGCTACACTATTTCTATTTTCTAATATTTCATGTAACTGTTGCTTTCCTCCTTTCCCCTCCTCTCTTTCTCTCTATGCCTACTTCCTCTATTTCCCATCATTTACTCTGGTTGCTCTTGACTGTCATCTTAATCTTTTTCTTCTTCTTCTTCGCCTCATGCATTTAGTGTCGACTGTCGAAGCATGAACTATAATGCGACATACAACACAGATTCATAAGCATCATGCAAAATCTTTCATTTAGATTGCATCCTTTTATTATTTTATCAATCTTTTTTTTATGCTAAAGTTTTTGCAAAGTTCTCGTTCATTTGGTGAGAAAATTCAAAGCTAAAATATATTAATGCTTTATAATATAAGAATAAAAATATACTTCAAAGAACAATTTATTTAGCTAGTAAAAATTATTGAATTAAATTGTAATTATATATTATTAATATTATATATTCTTATTTAGCTAGTAAAAATTATTGAATTAAATTGTAGTTAATATTATATATTTTCAACTTGTCACACGATTAGAAAAATATTATATGAAAACATTTTTAAGAATTATATGTATCTGAAATATTATCGAATGAGAAATAGTAATCACCGTTAAAAAAGATTCATATTATATTTGTTTGATGCCACATTATTTGTATAATATTGATCTCATTTGAATGCAACGATAGCACAACGTCGAACAAGCCCTCTATCCCACTAAGTGGGGTCAGCAAATTAATCTAATTTGACTATATTGAAAAAAATTCAGTAAGTATAATCAGTCGGATACTAGATTAGAACTATCACCTTCTAAACTCAAGCAATTTGATAACAGATAATTTGTGTTAAATCATCTGTCAAAATTTTTTTCGTAGTGTATAAATACAATCCAAAGTGTTAAATGAAAAATAAACTGACGTATATAGAGATAATTTTCAATTTAATTAGCTTAGCTCTTTATTTCTTTTCTACTAAAATTATATTTGCTCTTACGATCATGAAGGATTATCAAAGATTGCAACGAAGCAATAACCTAATCCTATTTGTTTACTTGATGGAATGTGGGAGAATATTTTAATGGATATTCAGGCTAAATATCTGGAGGTCTAGTCATTGTAATTAATAAATTTATTGAATGGCTGAAAATTTTTCTTGTGAATTTTTAAATGATTTTTTTTGTTGTAGTATGGATTTTAGAGGAAAATTGTATTAGTGTGAATGTTTAGCCCATTGGAGTATCTCAAAGAGAGTCAGTAATAGAATCAACGGCCTATGCATAACTCTAATGGTGTAATTGGTTTCCCACTCATTTGCAGAAAAGTGTTGCATTGAAACTCATTAAAGACTATCCCCTGAGCCTCTTCTTCCTTCAATTTTGGGATTATATAGATTCTATTGAATCAGATTCCTTAAAGAGGGATGCCATGTCCTATTAATTACGCTATCAAATTTTATCCTCTTAAAGAAGATGCATGTAAGCGTCACTCTCAGTTCATGCGTGGCATTCAACAGGAATTAGCTAGACATGGTCTTTCTTGCTCTAAGGTGTAGATATTGTGCATGCAATTAGACAAAAGCGCATAAACAATCCTAGACTTGTCAGGTTTTGTAAGAAAAGTTGGCAGGATAACTGATTTGCTTGGTTTAATTTATAATTGTTGCTGCTAAAATTAACTATGTAGTGGCATTCTATTCAAATTGAATTGCTTTGAGTGGATGGAGATTTAAAGCCCGCTTGAGGGGGAGCTTCCTTGATTCTTAATGTAGCAGGGGATTGCTCGTCTGATTGTAGATTGCCTTTAATTAAATGATTTTCTTAAACAAAATAATTATTTCTTTTGTTTAAATAACTGTCTGGAATAATAAATTTAGATGTTTCTTGTATGTTTGATTATGTAGCAAGGTTTTATCTATGTCCCTTCAACGATGTTTTTGCAATTAAATGAAGCTATATATTATTGCAGGGAGATATACTGTTCCTGCACATGAGCAAAGAACCTATTCGCGCTGGAGAAATTGTTGTGTTTAATATTGATGTAAGTCATATGATGGTTCTTTTATGCACTGAATTCACATTTACACATTGTCCTGAATTTATTCAATCTTGTTATAGCTTATTATGTTGAATTTAAATGTAGATAAAATTTTCCATTTATTATAAATTATCTCATATATTTGAGAATGATTTGCCCTTTTTTTCTTCTTTCTTCTGGCTATGGATTCATTGTTGTCTATTAATTTACTAAAAAAATTTTGGCTAATGATTTTTATTCTTCGACCCCACTTAGTGGGAAAAAAGGCTTGTTGTTGTAATGACTTCACGTGCTTTATTATTTTTCCAAGTTGCTTATTTTTAACCCATACCATCTTGCATTACTTTTTTACTAAATTTATCATTTTGGAAAAATATTTTTCTGTTTTCATTGGAGTAATTGGTATATGATGAGCGCATTGGTTCACACCATGTCTAAAATATTTTGTAATTAATAATATGCATGTGCAGCTTCGTAAAACTACCATTTTTCAAATGATGGGCTATTTTGAAGTTGTAGATTGTTCTTTTCAAGTTGGATTCATTTCATATTTTGAAAAAGTTTTCTATAACAGCTAATGATTGGATTGTTGAGTAGTAAAAAACTTTTTGAAAAGCTCAATTGAGCGTTGAAATCTGGCAAAACTAGAATGAATAAATTAAGAAATGATTATATTAAAAGATGAATCAAGTAACATTTATTAAAGATAAGTAAATAGGCTTAGGTCACTTGGTCATGCATTACAAATTATAGAAAATACATCTATTAGATGTGTTGATAATTTTTTTTTGTCAAGGATTAGAAAGATGAATGTGTGGACCTAATGTAAATGGCTAGAAGTTGCTCAAAATAATCCAATATGAATATATTTATTGGATATGTACCATGAAAGATAGACAAAAGTGCCTATTAGATGCACATACAAAATTGTTATCAATGGCATGGTTTAAAATTCACCTATTAAGGGTATGATGTTATTATTATTATTTTTTTCCCTGGCTCTGGGGCGCTGTAAACCAGCGCCATGACGCTAAGCTCTCGGGTTTGGGAACCATTTCTTCACATCTCAAATGTTGTAGTTCCGATTAGATAGCACTGATGTGTTATCTCTTGCGTTGCCATGCCAGTTGGCCTGTGCCTAAGTGCGGTTTTCTGGGTTTCTTTTGCTAGGATACATTGCTTAGGCACTACCTTGATTTCCTTAACTCTTCTCCATTTCTTCTTATGTAATAATTTCCTTCCATACACATCACACTTAGTAATAATAAACCATAAAATAATATGATTTTTACTTAAAAATTAAATTTATTTCCTTATGATTTAATTCACTTAACACAATTAATAATAACATACGTAATTAAGTATATTTCATAATATATTATATATAAAATATAAATTCATTAATATAATATGTTGATTGTAATATATGAATAAATGTAATTTTAGCGTGAATCCAAGCTATACAAATTGTTTTCATTTGAAGCAGATGGGTTTGGAAAGGGGTCTGATACATTTTGCTTTGCCAGGCATCATGCCACGCCTGCTTCAAGTTAAGACAATATGGCTACTAGTTAAAGATATGCGATAAGGCAATTTATCTCTAATTACAGACTATTATCTTGGAAAGTGCTAAAAACTAATACGGTAGCTTTTATGGTAGATTGACGACTCATTTTGAAAAGCAGGAGAAGCTCTAAAATTAAATGAGGCCAGCAGTAATTCATCTTTACAACAATGGTGAAGAGAAATATTTTGTGATAAGAGTTGAACTGGACCAAGTTCTGGGATGGGAATGGCTGGACTTTCATCTTTTGTTATGCGATTAGCAATTTACATTTGGTTGACTAATTGAGCTACTCTACTAGTGAGTTATATGCTAAAAATGGAAGGTCTCAGTTGAAGCCTAAGAGTGCATCGAGAACTCTACAGGTGGCCAAATATCCTCTCAGTAACAAGCGCTTATAGAAACTATTGCCCTAAATGGTTTACCCACCAGACATGGTGTGAAGCCCTAAGATTCACCTATTAAAATAATGTTAACAATTACATTGAATCATTTATAATCCGGAGATTTTCAAACAAAGAGTAGAAAATGCAATTTTCTTTGGCAAGGTAACTGAAAAAACTAGTTCATTGGTTTGTGGACAATAAGCTTTTTGATGTTTTTTAGAGTTTGCTTTCTCTCCCTCTCTCCATCTGAATTTATCCAAAGGTTGGCCTTTCACTGCTATTGTTGAAGGCATGATACTTTTGCATGTCGTCTTTTTTGCATATGAAATAATTTTGAGGTGTTGTTACTTTCTTTTCATAGAATGGTTGGAATTTTTGAGGTGTTGTTACTTTCTTTTCATAGAATGGTCGGAATCCCTTAAAACACACACACACACACACACATTTTGTTTTTATTCATGTATGTATTTGTTTAAAATCATGTGGATTGCAGCAATATGCCATGCAAACAAGCCAAGTTACTGTATTTTGAGTTTTAATGCATGACTAGAAGATAGTTGCATGTCATGTTGTGCGTGAACAAAACATTGAAGTTTCAATTTGTTGGAGATATTCTGTGGCTAAGCAAACTTAGAGGCACATTTACCTTTATATTGAAATTTAGTAGAACTTTAGGTGCAGAGAGTTGAAACCTTTTGAATAGTTTGATTGCAAATACCTCTGTAATAGCTACATATACCTTCTTAATATTTTTTATTTGAAAAATATCATTTTTGATAAGTTGAAATAAAGTGTGGTTGATTTTGAAAACACTCAAAATATCTTGAAATTATTTTGATTGTTTTTAAAAATACGTTGGTTTGTTCTTAAAAAAAAAGATAAAAACATGTAAAGAATATACCATGCAAAAAAAAAAAATAATAATAAAAAAATAGATATATAAATAAATAAAAGAACAAAAAAAAAAGATCCCAAACAAGATCTCAATCAATATGGAGTGGCTTTTTAGTATGGTCTAGGATGAGTTTGACTGTAGCTTCAGGATGTATTCAAGTTTTCATGGTTTAATTATTTTCCTATGGTATCATATGGAAGTCTTAATTCATGATCATACATTTGAATGTCAGTCTTCTGTTACGTTAATTATATCTTAAATAAGTGAAATAATGACTAATATAAATAAACTTTATAATAGTTTTATACTTTTAAAGCAACGGAGGCTATTAGCTATCTTTGATTTTTGTTTTCGATGTCTCATTGAACTCTATAAATGATTTATTTTTTATTTTTTATTTTCTGCGGTGCTTTATGTGGTAAGAGACCATTCTTGTGATTCTAATGGGGCTTTGCACCTATGCAGGGACGTGAGATTCCAATTGTTCATCGTGTGATCAAGGTATCCTCTTGCCTATTGTACTCTATAAATGTCAATTCATGCAAATTGTTCTGAAATCTCATTAGTAGGATATCTCTATTTTGTTTACTTTCTCAGCTTTAAACCAATGGGTTCTATAAACAAGTGGTAATATAGAGGGCAGTTAGCTGTTGATGTAAATTGAAGACTTGTGCTTTTCTGTGATAGCTCCTGTTTAATATAATCAGCCATGAATGACTAGAGTACCCGTAAAACTTATCCCCCAAATTATCAACGCATGGCTCATGATGATTGGGAATCTAAATGAGTTCTTTTTTGATGTCATCTTTTTTTTTTGTTGTCTTTAGTTTTTTTTTTTTATGATATAGTTGGCTGGCTCAGGAGATTATTAGCCTTTTCCTTGATCTTTAATTCATATTTCCTCCGTTTTCACCTACCAACTATTTTTTCTTTTCTTTTTTTTGTTCTATTCCTTGTGGAGTTATGCTGGATCGATTTAAAAAAAATAAGAAGTGAAATTAGTAGAAGAGGGATAAAAAGGGAATAAAAATACAAATTGTCACCTTTCATCAAAAAATTGAGGGCGCCAAGCAATTACCTGTGGTGAAATTAAAGTGGCTCTTTTGCCTTTAAAATAAATATGAAAGGTTTTGAACTTATCCTTCTATTTTTGTAGCTTTCAAATGCTTTTGTGTAGCTTTATTATAAGGTCATGTATGTTGATTTTACATCTTGAAAAGATTGCTGACTATGCGTCCTAACAAGGGTGGATTTCTTTGGGTCTTTTTCAGCACCACCTCTGAAATTACCGGTTTACCTTGCTCCTTGTGGTGCTGGTTGAATTCTAATAAGGGTTAACTTTTTTATATTTGACTTGCTATTCTTCTTGTGTCATTTGCTTGAATCTGACGCGGGCGTCGCCGGAATCGTGTCCCTGCACCTGGACCGAACTGCTCCAAGATTCTAAGGCACCAGCCGGCCTTCTAAGCCAAGGAACCGCCATCCAATTGGAGTGAGGCCACTCCTTATTATCTAGGGCATATATATGTTGCTTTGTCATGTTAGGTTTTCAGCTTTTGTCGTGTGTTTGTTCGGGACTGCCGCAGGAGTTTCTCTTTTGCCTTCGAGAGTTGTGTTCAAGGGATTGAGTAGTGCTCAGGTTTGTATGTCACTCCCGAGGTGATGTTTATCCTTCCTCTACTCTTCCGCATTCTTCCTGCATCTCTCTCTGTCTCCCTTCACACCCAAATTGCCAGCCTCATCGCTGCCGTCACTCTCGATCTCCCTTATCTTGCCGCCGCTGCCACTGGACTGCAATCTCCACTGCTGTTCACACTGCTAGCTGCCTTCTCCTTGCAGCCGCAACCTTCCTCCCTGCTGCCATTACCCAAGAAAGACATTCCACGTCAATCTCTGCTGTTTGCTTTCTGTCTGGAACCTGGGAAACTGCCACTTTGCTGTTTTCTACTTACCCTCCACCTTTTTCCATCTTCTCGCCGCCTTCCAAACTCTCGCCAACCACCCACCACTGCTGTCCCTCTCGATCCAACCCTAGTTTGAGTTTATTTTGTTGTTTGTTGCAATTTCAGATTTCATGTTGTGTCGTCGTGATTTAATATTTGAATTCAGAGCAATATATTGGCTTTCTCCTGCTCTTTGGTTAAACTCCGGTATCAGAATCAGCATTTGGTTTGAAAGCTTGGAATTTGGAGTTTGCATCTAAATTTGCTGTTCCTGCTCTGTTTCGAGTTATTTTCTGCTGGCCTTGCTATGTATTCCTGACCTCACTTGACTAACTCTTTTATCCATGGAATAAATGTTAATGCCTCTTATTTTTCTTCTTAGCCATGCTGCGTCTTGTCTAAGAAAATTCCATTTTATTTCAAATCTCGTCTTTTTTCATATGTATAAGTTCTGTGACTTTTATTTTTGCGGTGGAGAAAATGTATTATTATTTCTTTGCTTATAATCTTCTCAATATTAAGAAAGTTCCCTTATATTTTAATTTTTGTTGTCGTTTTAATTTCTAGTTGAGAATATTCTTTTGTTATTTTTCTTGTGAAAAAGCCTGTTCTCTAATTGCTTTTCTTATGATATTTTAATCTGTCTTTTTGTTTTAAATCTAGGTTCATGAGAGGCAAGATACCGGAGAAGTGGACGTTCTCACCAAAGGTACCCAAATCGTCATTTGTATACTTTATAACATTAGACAAGCTAGTGGTTGAACCTTCAGCTAGTCTATGAACCTAACATAAAGAATAATCCTTCGTTATTTTATTCTGGAAATATATGATAGATTTTGTTCTTGATATGATAATATCATGTGCTTTTCATTTGTGGCCAAATGAAGGAGAATTTCCCTTAAAAAAAATGTCGTAGAATTTGTAAAATTTGGTTGTTATTCACTTTGGAGAATTGGAAACATAGGTTGCAATCTATCAGTTCTACCATTTTTCTTGATTTAGCCGAATTCATATTTATTTATTTTTAAAATTTTTAATATTAGTTATCCATCTTAAAATACTCATTTTATTACAAAATAAAAATACAAATATTGCTAGATATGCTTGGTGTCACTCAGTTGTTTGAATAAAATACATTTTTCATATTAAGATTTTAAATCTGAGGTTACCCACAAAGATGCTTTGGTTTCAAGAGTTTAGGATATGTATTATTTCATTTTTAGTTTCTTTTTCAGTTTCGTTTTATTTTTTGTAAACTAAAAAAAATCTTTAACGCAATCTAATTATCTAATTTACATTCATGACTATTGGAAAAAATTATTTGCAACAAGAGCAATTAATTAATGATAGCTTTATGGATAAACATGAGTTAGTACTAGTTATATGACTTCGTTTGCATAAATTTGGTTAAAAATGAATATCTTTTCTGACATCATTTTCCAAATAATTCGTGTTTGTTAACAGTGTGAACGTTTTTCATTTCTTTGCAAAAAATGTCAAACTTCTCATCTTATTCCATTGGCAGGACTTGTACAAAGATTCCGATTAAGCTGATTTTTTAATCTTGTAATGTTAGATCTGCTGGCTTGTCTTAGTGAAAAGGAGACCTCTATGCATGGCTAGAGGTCCAAGTATTGCAAACTTTGCCTTTGACAGTGGCAATAAGGGAGCGTGGAATTGATTGATTTTATGAATGATTTCATGGGTTTGTGGGTGAGGGCTGGGATGACTATATATATGGAGAAAACGGGTTGAGAAGGGTAATGATAAGAGACATTGAAAGGGATTTTACAAGGAAGAAAATTTTTGGTTTCTGACATATCTTCGACTCACTAAGAGAAGGATGATCAATCCTAAGAAGTCAAAGTAAGTTCATAATAAATTCTCCTACCACAAATCAAGATTAACATCTAACTGTAGGGCCAAGCGATATGGGACAGGAACCTAACAAGATAGAATACACTTTTATTTAATATATTTGTTTATAAATTAACTTAAAACTCTAAAAATGATGTTCATGCCTCTTCAATTTGACACCTCATAGATTGAGGCGTATGCCTCAGACAAGTGCCATGAGGCATATGAGGTATACCCCTCATGGTGAAATTTCCTAATAGGCGTTAATGTGCAAATTTAAAGAATGTATGTGCAATTTAGAATTTATTTTTTATGGAGTATTTTTAAAATTTTTGTGGATAGAGGTATGCATTTGGCAGATTTGGTTGCTTATTATTTGCTTTTTGTTCTACAAAGTGGCAAACCAAACCAAACTTCCACTCAAGGCTAGGCCTAATCAACAGTTTGGTTTTGTCTCCTTAATTGGAAACTGAAATATTAATCTGTATTCTATAATTGTAATTTAATATTCATAATGCATCATCATGCGGAAACAATTAACTTTCAAATAAGATTAGTTTTGGCATAATTTCTGATTGATTGTGGGCTTAATCTAACATCAACTCAACTTATTTTGATTGATTTTAGGATAGGCAATCACAATTTTTCAACTTTGAAGGTCATGCCACTCATCCAAGTGTTTTTGCTGGCAAAGGCAGCTTTGAGATCCATAATTCATATACGACATTCATTATTAGGGCTTGCTTTTTTTTTTCTGGTTTGGGTTTATTTGGTAACAAAATCAGCCCAACAGAAGTCTATGCTGTAACAAAAATAAATTAGGTGCTGAAAACTATGCCAGCCACACCAATGAACACTTCTGATTGAAAAGTATTCGTTGATTTCTTTGGTTCATATAAAACGACGGATGCTCTCCCTTATGATGATTATTAGATTTTTTTATTGGAAAAGCCAATAGTGCACCTCTTTGAGAAATTTATTTGGATTAGTTGGAGTTATGCTGCAAGGACATGTAAAAGAATTGTCACACACACACACACACACACACACATATATATATATATATAGACGCCGCTGATGTTTCGAATGGGCGATTTCGGTCGTCTGAGATTCAGTCGTGTATGATTCAGAAGAAATCGAAGGAATAGGCCTTGCATCTCATCGATACTCAGCTTTGCCTGTTTCGTCTGTTCGCTTGTTTCGACGCTGAGCATCCTGTCGGCTTGCATGCGTTGTCGTTTGTTTCGATGCTGAATTCTACGACTTCTTCCTCTCCCACTTACGGACTCAAACACAACAGATCTTGTCTCCTCCGATTCCCCTCTTTCACACGACGCCACAGCCCTAACAGCGGCTCGCAACTACGACTCCTCTCCTCTTGACAAAGCCGCAGAACTCCTGTCACCTGTCAGCTCGCCTTTTTCTAGCGGCTCGCCTAGTCGTTTTGGAGATGGTCTTGACGTTCGTTACTATGCCAATGCACTTGCCGACGACTTTTCTATTCCCGCTCGTGCTCCTCTTTCAGGTCCTGAGTCTAGTTTTTATATTGGCAAGTCCTGCAATATTTCTCAATCTTTTCACGACGATCTTGAAGGTGGTGGTGATCACACTTTCATTAAAAAACTTGGAAAAAAATGGGAAGTTTGCTCTTATTCTCACTGAGGTTGAAACCAACACTCTCTCATCCTCTTGGCGTTTTGTTCTAGTGGGGAAATTCCTTTATGGTCACCTAAAATTGAAGATCATTCGGAAAGAGTTTGATGCTATGAAGCTATTAGACAGTTGAAATATTGGATTACTTGATGGACGACATATACTTATTCAGTTATCTCATGATGCCGATTACACTCGCATTTTTTCTCAAAAAGTTATCAAGATCGACAACTATTTTATAAAAATTCTGAAGTAGACTGTCGATTTTGATCCAAAAGCGGAGTCTCATATCATTCCTGTTTGAATAAAGTTTCCAGGGTTAAAATTACATCTGTTCAACTTTGAAATTCTCTACTATTTAACAACTGCTTACGGTAAGCCTCTCAAGGTTGATAGTCCTACGCTTGCTATCACAAAACCCTATGTGGTTTTTTGTGTTAGTTGAGAGAGATATCCCTCAACCACCTCTAAATGAGGTATGGATTGACACCACTCACAATGGATATTGACAATAGTTTGAAATAGAACCACACCATTTTTATTGCTCTCATTGTAGTATGTTTGGCAACAACTCAACTATTTGCTATCTGCTTGTCAAGTTGTAAGTTCCCTATTGTCTGGGGTTCGATTCCTCCTGGTGGAGGGTGTGGTACTCGAATTTTTTCGATTCCCCCTGGTGGAGGGTGTGGTACTCGAATTTTTAGGCCTATCGAGGATGACCGAGGTTCGTATAATAGCCTCTGCCCATTTCTTTTTATTTTGTGTGTGTGTGTGTGTGTGTGTGTGTGTGTGAACTTAGCTATCCTTAAGATAAGAGCAGTATTTCTCATGTTCAAATTTCAAATGATTGAAACTATTAGAAACCCAACTTCATGCAATTTTCCATTATTTTTTTAGAGCTCTAGACGTTCAGAGAGTTCATTGATTGTTTTAATAGCTTGAGAAGAGATCTACTTTTTTATATAATAGTTTTCTAAACTGTCTTTTACTTTTTGTAACGGTTGTTTATAACATGTAGAGCATATTTGATTATTTTCATTGGTGTGATATTTGAAGAGTGTTTGCTTTTATAATGGCTATGTTTGACTATCATCATTTCTGACATAAGCTCGATCGTTGGTAAACTGTTGAAAATTTTGACCATTCAGTATTTTGAGGTTGTAGATCATAATGAATTCTGTTTTCTAGTCTATAAAAGAAGCCATAGAATATGGCCAGCATAAACGAAAGGAAAATCTACATGCATACAGCACAATTCTTATGGATTATATGTCAAACACCCAAAGTTTGATATTCATACTTATGATACCTCCATGTCATAAAACTATGCACGGAAAGGTGTATTTCACTTTTAAACAGACGGTGATGGTGCTACTTGTAAATATGAATGTGTAGGTGTTAGACGTGTAACACTCGAAAATAATATTAGAACTACTCTCCTCGTGAGAGGGAACAAGACCACATCAAGAGGAGAATATTCAATTATTCTGATATTCTAAAATAAATTCCAGTATAATGGTTATGATCAAGTTAAACTACTTTAATGCATATACCTATAAAACCCCTTTTAGATGCGGCAGGGACTGAAAATTAGCTTTTTGTAGAGTGTAGAATCTCTCCTCTGACATTGAACCTGTGACTGCCGTTCTACTCTTTTTTTTCAACCATGCTATCTTTTGTGTATTTGTCGTTGGACTGTTCGCAGTATTCATCCATCTATAAGATAGGAAGATTTACGTACATACCACTCAATTCCTATGTATTTACCTATCTAACACATAAACTTCAATTTTTTACGTACACACCACCTTATCAATGCATGAAAAGATGTATTTCACATTTCAAAAGTTAAATAGAGGTATTTTTAACGCAATATGAAAGTTTTGGGTGGTATAAATGCTTTAGATGTTATATATGTAAATACATAGAAATTGAGTGGTATGAATGTAAATGCCCATATAAGATTTCCGTTCTTATAAAATTTTTCAGTCAAACGTTATAGCTGACCCATTTTGCAGGTGATAACAATTTCGGTGACGACAGACTTCTTTATGCTCATGGTCAACTTTGGCTTCAGCAACATCATATAATGGGGCGTGCTGTAGGGTAAATAGTTTGATATTACTATATTATTCTCTTAGCTGCGTGGACCCTCCTTTAAAGCTATTTATGCTTATAGGTTCTTACCATATGTTGGATGGGTTACAATTATAATGACTGAAAAGCCAATTATCAAGGTATGGAATCATTCATAGAAGTTCATAATTATTTTGCAAGATATATTTTGTTTTTATTCTGTTTGAAGATGCCGACAGCCAGATTTGTAGTTTAGTTGACTTAAAATTTGATATTATATACTTGCCATTGGCTATTTTATTCTTGGAAGATTTACATATAAACCACTCAATTCCCAGGTCTGCACATATCTAACAACTAAACTTCAAACCTCAAATTTTTATGTACATACCACCTTACCCATGCATAAAGTCTTTCACTTTCTAAAAAGTTAAAATGTTTGTAGTTTTTATGTGGTATGAAGGATTGGGTGGCATAAATCTAAAAAGTAAAGTTTTGGTGTTAGATTTGTAAATACATGATGGTATATATGTAAATGCCCTTTATTCTTGTGCTTGTATTTTGTCCTAAATTTTCATACACTTACAAAAAAATTAATTATAATTGAATGCACATAAATTAAGCTGTGATTAGTCTGCCTTTGTTGTGATGTGAAGGCAGGGGATTTGATTTTGTTTTTACAAAATAAGCAAGGTTTTTTTAATTAAAAAATTTTCCATTAATGACATTCTACATCATAGAATGGTCTTGTTGCAACCCCCATCCTTGCTCTCATTTGTCCTTGGACCAGCTTGTTCTCTTTTTAAGCCTCTGGAGCATTGGTTGATGATTCACCGCTCAATTCCTATTTATTTACATATCTAACACCCAAACTTTACTTTTTACATTTATAACACTCAAATCTTTCATATCACATAAAAAATACCACTATTTTAACTCTTTAAAAGTGATATACACATTTTCATGGATGGTTAAAGTGGCATATATATAAAAATTGAAGTTTATGCGTTAGATATATAATTACATAAGACTTGAGTGGTATATATATTAAGTATATATAAAAATTGAAGTTTATGCGTTAGATATATGACATAAGACTTGAGTGGTATATATAGTAATCTTCCTAAGCAGTAATCCTTTTGCAAAAGCTCAAATAGGTCTTCCAACCGTTCGATAGATAGGAAATTACATGGGATTAGCAACATGCTAAATTTTTTCATCCAATTATCTAAAGAGAATATTTTTTCGACTTCTGAAGCTTTCCTTTCATAAAATACTGAAAATCTTCTTTCTGTGCTGCAGTACTTGCTGATTGGGGCGCTGGGATTGCTGGTTATAACCTCGAAGGAGTAGAATATATATTTTGCAGATTTACCCGGAATTGTTCTTAGAGCTTTGATTTCGCTCAGGCTGTTGTAAAACTACAAATTGCCATTTTGATGCATTACTGGATCATAGAAATAACTTAGATCCATAGATCTGATTTTGCACTTGAGGATGTTAGGGTGGAAACTATAATTTTATTAAAAATGTGGAAAGATATGCATTTTTTTTTTCTCTTTTTTGTTGATATTGCTTTAATTAAGGTTTCAGTACGAGGTAATTAATATTCCTTTCTATTTCTATGCTTTAATGGGATGCAAGTGAAGAAAAAGGGAAAATATTTGCGTACGTAAGACGTACGCAGAGCTGCGTACGTCGGGAGGTTATTTAGAGGGTATAGGGGGGTTATATTCGTGTTATACCCTCCTGTAATGTAACCTACAAATAAGTTTCGCGCTTCTGTAGTTCCGGTAGGTGCAGATAAGTTATGGAGGTTACATGGGGTATAACGCGGATGTAACCGACGTCTATCCTCTAAATAACCTCTGACAAATATTTTCCAAGAAAAGGGTGCTAAGTTCAATAACAACAGTAATGATCTATGATTTATTAAAATGTTGTAGTAGCAAATTTATTTTATTTAGTTTTGTTGTCAATTTTATTTCGGGCATTTACATCCATGCTGCTCAAATTTTATGTATTTACATATATGGTATTCAAATCTTTAATATCACGTAAGAAGTGTAGCATTATGATTTATTTTTTAAAAATGAAATATATCTTTTCATACATAAATTTATTATATTGATGTGTTATAAATTAGATATGCAAGTTGATGTTAGGTTTGAAAATATAGAAGAATTGTCTTGTATGTATGTAATTATTGTTATTTTTATTTTTATTTTGTGCCTACATTTATGTGGTATGCATGGCTTGTGTAGTGGTGGAATTAGAACTTAAAATAGAGGTGATAAAATTAAAAATTAAGAGGTGATGATTATTTAAATTTAAAATTCTTATCATCTGAAATTTTTTAAAGAATTATTATAACTATTATTATAAAATTAAAAAATAGTTATTATTAAATTTTTATTAATTATTTAAGTTAAGAGGATAAAATTTTTAATGTATTATATAATATCAGAAAGTATGGTAAAAATTAAGAGATGATAAATAACTCTCTCATAATTACTCTGTGGTTAGATTTTCTTGTAGATAAAAAAGTTAACAAGCATGGCACATTTATTATTCTCTTAATAAAGTATTTTTCTAAATAAATTTATATGATAACACCTAAATTGATTTTAAAATAATTGTTTTAAACATTTGTTAAATATTTTTAAGGGATTATTTGGGGCGGTTGCAGCTTATTGAATAATTTGTTGATCAACAGCTTAGCCAGATAAACTAGCTAGTTATTTGAGATAGATGATTGAAAATAACTAATTTGCAGCTGTTTGTGGATAAATAATCATTTTATCCCTATTAAGTAATGTAGTTTGTAACAGAACTGTCTTGACAGTATATTCGATACTGCAAAAATACAAAACTAATACATAACAGTACATAAAATAGATGAATCAGTCATCACTTAACAGTGAGTATCAAATTTGATAAAAAAATCATTAAATGAAAATTAAAATTATGATAATATTAATTTTAGACTTGAGATTGTGTATGTCAATCGATACACCATCATCTAGGGATACCATCGAACCCCGATCACTATTGTCAGTGGAGTCTAGCGAATTGTCCGCCCATCAGAAGAAAACACACCTCTCTGTGATACTTCGTGGGCAAATGTAGAACCGTCTCCCATAACTGTGTGCCCGACGTGACATCAATAAGGTAATCTGTAGTCAACAATGACAGAACACACGTCGGGAGGTCCTGAATTCCTGGAACTTATGTTTCTTGAGACATGAAGGAGAGAAAACATTAGTCAGCTCAAAAAATTAAACTAACGAAAAAAATGTACAAGAAAATGGAAATTAACGAAAATAGTATCAAATAAAAAAGTACAACTTGGGGAAAATTGTAGTGTGAGGTCTCTGAGAACTAACCACACCAACTAATGAGTCTGTCACTACATCAAGACAACATACATTGTAAAAAAAAAGAGTTTTTGGTTGCTTTTAACCCATGTGAAACCAACGTCGTGTGTCACATGTGCATATCACCAAAAAAGGGTCATCCAGTAGGTCCTCATAAATCGATGCAGTGAAAAGAAGAGATGATATAAGTTGCTTTCATTAGGATTTCACATGCAACACCAAGGGGAAACCAACGTCCTATGCCACATGTGCATATCACAAAAAAGGTCATCTAGTAGGTCCTCTTAAACCAATGCACCAAGAAAAGAGAGGATCTAGGTTTCCTTCATTAAGATTTTACATGCAACACTAACAAACAAAACCAACTGGCCATCTAGAAGAACCCAAATAATTAGAAGTTTCATCATGGATCCCACAGGCTCACAAAATAAAACAAATAAAACCCAAATGGAATACTAAAAATTGAAAAATGTAAAACCATAAAATTCCATAATACAAGTGACATTAAACATACATAGAGTTTATAAAATAAATAAGAGACGTCCGTCCAACATCAAACAATCTCGTTCGTTATCTGCTCTCTTAATGCAGCCATTTCCGTGACACCTTCACCAACTTAGGTGTATTCTTCCTGAGATCCCACTTCTATCTGTGGTATAGACCGACCTATATGAAATTCAAATGTTTCTTGCAGGACCTGCATGTGATCGTCATCAACCAGGGTGAAGTCCACATCCGACCTAGAATAATATCGTCGAATGTAGTTGTAGATCGCCATCGTGACAATCATAATCTGCACTTGTTTGAAAATGGGTAAGTCTGCATATCACGTAGTATGACACATTTTTTCTTATACACCCCAAAAGCTCTTTCAATTACACTGCGTAAGGAAGAGTGTCTTTTGTTAAACATTTCCATCCTACCACAGGCAACACTGTTGTATCTTTCAAAATCATGAATGTGGTACTTTGTATATGGATATGGCTTTAGATACCCCATCTGTAAAAGATATCCAACATCAACCAAATAATATTTACCTGTCGAAATACCGTAATTGGTAACAAACTAAAAAACCCAATGCAGGAAGTCGTGTCATCAGTCTCGTGCCATAAAAGAAAAAAATACGACTGTTGTGCATGCTGCCTTCCCAACCACAAAAATGAAGCACATGCTGAAGTCACAGACGACCGTCACATTTTGTATTGGCGCTACACACTGTCCAATGTATGCGACATTCTCAATACTGAATACTCGTGCATCCACGTGGGTTTCATCAATTGCTCCAATACAGTTCTGTCAGATATGTTAAAACTGTAAATGTCATGTAACTTATTTTTGACTTTTGAATGTTATGTGATATAAAAAATTACCTTAATGAATGACATGTACTGCGGGTTATTTATGATATTTATTGGAGTTGCCTCGAATGTTGTATCCTTGGGCTTAATTAACTTTGTCGCTAAACTAACCAGAGTTTTCAAACCCATTGAGAAATATTTGTTGATTGTCTCTGATGAGTGCTGAAATCACTCCATCGCTTCTCTAATGGATTCATTATGTGATAAAATGTAGAAGGCTATTGCTAACACCTCTCTTGTTATCGTTCTTGAAGAGTCGTGCAGTCTATGATATATTTGGAGTTCATCAAGCTGATCAATAAATATGACTTTTGTCATTTGGAACATGTTATTGAACCAAATGAGATGTCCTAGTAGTAGCTCACCGACCCATTTATCATCAATATAACTCGATGTCATGCAGGGAGCTCGATCAACGTAGGAGTTGTAGTATTTGGATTCTATGAAGGCAATAAGTGCAAATCAGACAATGTTAAAAAGAAAATATATAATAACTAAAAATTGGCTATACTTACTAGAAAGAAATGTGAGAAAAATTAAGGCAAATCCATAATATCTCTACAACATCATTTGTCCATAAAAGTCGTATAAACAACTTCATGCATAGACAATGTGACATTCATGTCAAAATTTAAAGCACATGTATTAAATATGTAAGTTCATAAGATTTGAGTGGAGTGTAAGTTAGATAAGTGGAACAAATAACTAGATGAAAACAAGCATTAAAATGACATTGATGCCATTTACACCACTAAATTCCACCACTGCAATTTTTCGGCAATCAAAAGACAATTAAGCACACCAACCATTCAAGAGTAATCAACATTAAGGGGACAACATGGTACAACTAAGCACGACACACACTTGTTACTTTGTAAAAATAGACACTTGTACATGCAAGTTTTGAATGTACCATTTTTATTATTTGCACTAGCATGTGAGTGTATGTACATTTTAAATTGTTATTCTGTTCCAAATCTGCTCATACCTATCCACATATAATATAGTAAGGGACAATGAATATCTGTCATTTTCCAAACCCATAAAGTGTGATCATCATTTCAAAGTGGGGCTACAAACATTTCACTCTTTTCAGGGATGCAAAAGCTTTCTTTTTAAAGTCTATAAAACCAAGAAGAGAGCCCAGTTATTAGTGAGGTTTATTTATAAGGATCTTAATTGGTTTTCAATGACATAACAAAACCACAGTGCACATGTTTCACAACATAAAGCACATTTTTTATTATAGAAAAATGTTGTTAACTTTGAATGACTTCACACAACCGAGTGTATGAGATATTTACTCCAAAGAAAAGAAAGATAGGAACATCAACTAATGGGAGAAGATGCAAATTTCTTACAAAAACTAAAGAATCTTTCACTGAAGGGTGGTATTGCCTGCTACTGAAATGACTTTGAAGAAGGAACATGCTCAAATTTTCCTTTCGCATAAAAGTGGATAAAGAAGGCACCTATCTGATCCCAAATTTGATATAGTTATGTAAAAATTATATAGTTGACTCCGTTGTGCAACGACGCAAAAAAACTTGATGCAATATTTTTATAAATTATATATAATTATAGGCAATTAATGTTGGGATTCTACACAAGTATACATATCATTATCAAGTCATAAAGGCCTTTCTATTGAAGCCCCAAATATCTATTTAAGCCTCAAATATCGATCCCACAAGGAAGGTTTAAATTTGAAATGATAAATTTACTAGGAAATTAAGAGAAAGTCAAAACGAAATTACTATCACTAATTTTGAATGTTGAGATGTTATCAAAACTAAATTATTTAACTAATAGCAATACTAAAATGATACTGAAATTTACAGTTTAAACAGTAACTACTAAATTATTAAACTAGTAAACTATGTTTATGCTTATGTGATGAAGATTTCTTATATAAAAAAACATCTTTCCCACTACAATAAGATTTTGGTAAAATGAGAGATTTTGGTAAGTTATAATAGATTTTGGTAAAATGAGATGAGATAAATAGTTATAATATGTATTGTGCCAAATAGGAGTAGTTTTAATTCTTTACCCTGATACAATGTTATAGAAAATAATTGGTTAATCCCAGGTTTAGTCCCTAAATCCGTGGCTAGGCGAGGAGGATATTGGCTCCCACTTCCATTCACCTGAAGGCTAACTCTCGCTTTAGTTTTTAAACTCTAAGACCGAATTGAGGATTTTAGTCTATCACCCTAAAAATTCTTCAATTCTACACCCAATAAAGTATATTTTCCTATTTATTTGCACTTAATTCCATGAACGAAGTTCTCCTTCACGAAATTAAATGTGATCCTCACTATGTTGTAGAACTCATACTCCATTTCACGGATCATTTGTTTCATAACATATTTTAACAATTCAATTAACCAGATCGAAAAGTAAATTAAGTTCGGAGTTGAAAAATCATCACAGAAAAATCATCACAATTTATTTTGTATTTTAATATCTGCCCATCCATATTATCTCTTCATTTCACAATATCTCAGCAGACTTCATGAGAAAGATACAACAAAACACAAATTTCATATATAAAAGAAAATTCATACAACACTAATAAATAAAACACACTTATATGAAACTCTTTTTTAAAACAAATCCCTTGTAGTCTCTTCTAGGAAATGTAGGAAGAATAAATCTCTCACTTTTCTCCTTCTCCAACACTCTTAGAGAAGAGTTCACACTTAATCTCACCACAAAATTCTAAATTATAAGAACAATGGACTCTAAATGGTGTGGAATGAAAATGGAAGAATGTGTGATGCATAGAAGGTTGAATTGGGCCGTGAGATGTCAAAGAGTCACTTTTCTGATCAATTTTGGCCCCAAATAAAGCCTAGAGTCGGTTCTCCAATAGGTGCCTCCAAAAACTCTTCAAAAAGCATCTAAATTCGTCGAATCTTCTAGAAATATGGGCTGAACCGACATTGGTACCGTCGGCGCCAGTTTCCCGCAATTTAATTCGTCCTCTCTGTCAAATGGCGCTGTTGGCGTTGAACAAATTTCAACTTCTTCATTTTTGCTCCAAATTTCATCCTTTTTGCTATAAGTTCTAAAATTCAACAACCTGCAAGAAAACATAAAAATACCTTCTATTAAAGTGCAATATCACCAAAATGAGTATAAAATATGAGTCTAAAAATACATATATTTTTTGTGTATCACTATCTTAACCCTGACCAAAATAAAATTATTTCTCCATATTGAAGCCAAGAAGATTTATTTTTACACAATGTGCTACACCAATCAAGCAATTAATTTCATCAAAAGATATAAGAAAAATAAATAAATAGGCTTTGAAGCATCATATACTAAATGGAATAATAAATAACACGAGAATGTCATTTTTTCTCATTTCTTTCTCAACTAGATTCAAGAAGAAAAGATTGAAGCTTTGAAGTCTCAAAAGCTTCTTTTCTTTATAGTAAGCTTGATTATGATGAACTATTTTCCATTCAATCCCACATATATGCAAAATCTCAAAAAAGTCAAGCCCTCTTTTCAAGTTCACTTCTTTATCTTTATTGACCACATGTCATTTCACATAGAAATTACCCATGCAGAATAATGAGAAAAACATATAAACGAAAGAGGTTAGTAATCTTCAAAGTTCATGCAATTCTTCTACCTCTAATCACCCCATATGCTCTTCCAAAATCCAAATCAGGAAAATGCCCTGATGTAAAACCTTGATCATCCATGCAAACCAGAATTAAAAAATCATTCGAAAAGGAGAATCGGGCAAGGCCTGCAGCCAAATCAACCCCCAATTTACTACAAACGTTTCCAACAAAAGTAAAATATCCCAAAGAAAGCCACCAAATGGGAAATTTGTAATCAACCAAATAACAAAAATCACAAAGAACTAGCCATTGCAACACTAAAGCCTTCAAAATGCATATAGAAAAAAAATTGCATTAATGATGTTCCAACTAGATGTGAGCCAGCTCACCAACAAGCAATCCAACGAGACACGGAGCAAGCAAGGGGGAGACAAATAAAGGAATGGAGGGTGATATCAGAGGGAAGCCGAGTTGGGGATCTCTGAAGTAAGGGATCCATCTATAGGAGCAGCCAAGGGAGAGGCGAGGAAGAGAGGTGCGAGAGAAACACCCTAGGGCAAGAGATGTCGAGCGAGGGAGGAGACACAGACAGGGGCTCGGGAGGAAAAAAACAACGCGACGCAAAATGAAGACGCGGGCTGCAAAATTGACCTGCAACCGCGTTTATTAGAAAAAAAAAACTGAACGTTGTTTCCCTATACGCTCCTTGAATATGAGAAACAAATGTGACGACCGTGCTTTAGACTCCCGCGGAAATAAGCAGCCTCAAACGATAGAAATTTAACATATGAAGTTCTAACGTAGCTTTGCATGCAAACTCGAGTAATATGACACCATGTGTGTTATGTCGAGCTCACCTAAAAAAATATTAAAGTGGAACTGCAGAGGTTATTGGAGTGAAACCGAAGATGTTATTGGGAGGGTTATTCAGGGGTTATTGGGGCATTAACTCCGATAACTCCACAATAACCCCCAATAACCTCTGTTGTTTCTCTCCAATAACCACCTGTAATAACCCCCAATAACCACCAATAACCTCAACAGTTTCACTTCAATAACCCCCTGCAATAACGATCTAATAACCTCTGCGGTTCCACATCAATAACCCCAGTAATAACCCTCAATAATCTCCGCGGTTCTACTTCAATAACCCCCGCAATAACCCCCTAATAACCCCACAATAACCTCTACTATTTCACTTCAGTAACTCCACAATAAACTCCACGTGGCGACATATTATTGGAATTCTGCATTTGACTCAGGATGTAAAATTTTCTCCCTAAACGACACCTAAGGGTCTGTTTGGGGCAGTTGCGGAGGTGCGGCACGGAATGCAGATGCAGTTCTGGGTCGTTTGGGGCAGCGGCGGCAACACGTCGCTCCAGAATTTTCCCCTTTTTAAGGAAAATGCGGGCCGCGAGATTAACCCCGCAACCCGCGTTCATTTACGTAAGTATTACACGACCTCTCTCAGCGTCTCATCTTCCCCCGCTACTCCAAATCCGAGAGCCTCATCATCTCTGGCTCCAGCCAACTTCCTCGTCGCTTCACCCTTGTCCGTTCCCTTAAAGATTCCCCTCAGAAGACCAACCAAAGATGCCAATACCGGAGTTGCTCAGCCTCATCTGGTGATTCAACGAGGTTTCGAGGCAATATATGAAGTACGAATTATGGGTTTAATGAGAAAGATTCTTGGAGATAAAAGGGTTTTGCGGGATGAAGATGGAGTGGGTTTGGATATATGGGTGGGAAGTGAGGATGAGGCCATTTGTTCTGGGAGACTGATGAGGAGTAGACAACACATTATTTGTAATCATGAAAAATTTTGGATTGCTGCTTGAAGCGATTGCAAGATAGGAAATGTTAATGACAATAAGAATTACTTGAAATCAATATTAGTTGCATGTATGTCAATGTGCGTGGTTGTGTTTGGTTAGTTGTTAAAGCTTCTACTTAATTTATTTATTTTATAAAAGCTTTATAATGGTATAATAAAAGTTAGGAGCTTCGAAATAATTAAGTAAATGGTTAATGGTGAAGATGCACCTTCGACATATTTTTACTGGTTATTCATTAACTCATTGATTTGTTTTGTAGAGTAAATGAAAGATACAACTTTTAGAGCATTCTAGGATTATTAAGTGGTTCTCTCAAACAAAAAAACAACACACAAGGATTTACTGGTTAAAAAAAATGGTGTACATATGAATTGTGTGATTTCACTTGAGAATATTTTAGAGTTATCACTGGTAGTTAGCGTTGACAAGTTTTAATATATATTTTTTTATAGTTTTATCATTTTCATATAATATCTAGTTTAAAATACATCACATTCGTGTTAAAAATATTATGATCATTATTTTACTTATAATTTTATTAATTTTTTTTTCCGGAGATATGTATATAAAATTTTGTTCTGTTTTATATTGAATTTTTACTTCAAGTATTAAATATGTGATTGCAAGTTATCTTTTAAATAGTTTTCCTTGATGATGACGGACAAAATGATACAAAAAATAAATGCCCACAACAAACTGTGAACAGCTTCACCGGAACAACTTCCTGCTTCCTGGGTGAAGGGAATATCGCAGCTTTTTACTTGAATTGGGAGCGAGCTAGAGAGACAGAGAGATCCGTCAGAACGTTAAGCCGCGCCGAAGCTTCTTACACTGGTGCGAAATCGTACTGTATTTGAGTGGTTCTGCTACGCATGCGATCGCTGGTGAGGGTCTGCATTCGCTTCCTTTGCTCCTTCCTACACACTTTCTCATAACTCTTTTATTTTGTAGATGGGGAAATGCTTCCGACGCATGATGTTCTTCAGTCCATTGCGCTGTGATCGTCATCGCGGTGAGGATTACTGCCCTTTTTTGTGCGAATAATAGAATGGATTGAGCCATTGGCTAATGAATTTTGATTGAAGTTATTATAGAAGCTTTATTTGAATTCTATTCTGATTTAACGTCTAACCTAAACTATTTCGAATTAGATTTTTTTTTTTTTTCTAAAGGGTTTCATGTGGGGTAATCGGTGCTAAAATCATGAAATTAGGGCATATTTATGCTTTTGGAACACTTTCCCTAATAGTACTACTATCTTAATTTGTGTTATTGCATCTTTGAATGCGTGATAGATTTAGATATTAATTTTGGATGTTTAGGTTTGATGTGGTTGCTGTTTTACAAAAATATGTATTTTGTAATAGGTGATTTTCTTTGTCAGGGGTGAAATTACTTGTTCTTTCATTAAGGTGCTTGAAATTAGAAAGTATGTTTTCAAAATGGTGAATTAATTAAATTTATTCATTTGATTGCATGTAGTTAGGAATCAATAGAACTCTAAACACGTCTTCAAATTCTCTCAAAACTGATGATCTCATTTTTACATGCAAAATGAGTAAAAATAAAATCATCATTTTAAACTGTGTTTTCTATAGACAAGCAAACCAAATGTGTTCCTAGAGATTCTTTTGATATTTTTAATAAAATTTATTCATGTTTGCTATTCATTTAGAAGGATGAAATGATTTATACTCACAAATCTTTCATTATCCAACACACATTTTGAATGGCTAAGATTCAAAGTACCTAATAATTTAAATAATTTTACCTTTTGTCTTTCAGCAAAAGAAGTGTAAGAATAAAGTGTTTCATTTTTTTTTTTAAATTGATAGTAGCCTAATTAATTTAATATTGTGTAATATAAAACCTCTTTGTTATCAATTATTATTAATTGCATAACCGCGACAAATATTTTAGTAACTTATTTAGTTTTGTTGAGTTTTGATATTTCCCATCTAGCTTCATTATTGTGATTATAGCTACATAACTTCTACATTTGTTTTATTATTAGTTCATGCACAGCTAGTTCGACATTCATTTTTGTGACATTGTTGAGTCATATCTCTTATGGATATTCACAGAGCTTTTTTTTATACATTGATAGTATTTTTTCTAGCATACTTGTGTATATCTATGTTTTATTGTAGTTTATTTTTAATGATACAATATCTATTTTGCAAATTAAGATCATTCGTCTACATTGTGAAAAGTAATAGAATTTCAAATATCATGAAATTTTGGTATGATTCATTCATGCATCTTACATGCAAATACTGCATTCAAATTGAGGGTGTTGACGATAAACAATTCATCAAATTCAAGGTGTAGGTCTATTCCAATCAAGTAATTTTTTTCCTAAATTAATATGAAAATTTGATTAAAATTAAGAATGAGTGAACAGCGAGTTGAATTTATCAGATTTGGCTTACTTATTAACTTCTTTGATTTCTTGGATTTGATATACAAGAGACTATGCACATGAACAAATTGATTTATGATTTTGCATCATAAGGATTTAGTAAAACTCGAGAGTGCTAAATTCTGAAATTTATGTGTTTGTCAGTAACTCTAATCCAAGTTGAATGCATGCAACTATTTGGATGCAGATAAAATGATTTACTAAATCCTTATAACTTACACTTTCAAATCCCTTTAAATACAAATGCTGCTCGCATTTACTAAATGGGTAATTCAGGATGAATACAACCAAATCACTTTAGTGGAACACTAAACTCTGTTAACTCTTTTGGGCCTTATTTTGATTTTTTTTATTAAAGTTTATTGACTCATTGAGTTTCATCTTACACCTTAGACGTCTATGGCTATATAAAGTTTTCCCTCTAGAAGAATGGGGATAAACTCCATAGAGCTTGCTGGTCCGTTGAAAGTTCTTCCTCCGGCAGACTTTTGTTGCGCTTATGGCTCCTTTCTACTTTCCAACAACACAGACAAGGTATTTCTAACTTCAGGCTTGGTTTCATAGACCTACAATTTGATATTTTCTTGCATACCACTCAAATTTTTAACATCACATCAAAATTATCTCCATCCCTATTTTTATGTAAAGTGAAATATAGATTTTTCGTGCATAGGATTATGAAAACAAGGTGTTATAAGTGTAAATATCAAACTTTAGTTGTTTGATATGAAAATGGGCTATACTTTCTCTTGTTACTTTTGGTGTGTAATTTAGTTATATTTTCTTGCAGAATTCCATGGTGGACTATATCATAGGGGTGGCAGACCCAGAAAAATGGCACGCTGAAGTGTGTAAACTCAAAACTTTAGAAAAAATATTTCTCATTTCTATGATTGACCAACTGCGATTTTGTATGGTTCAATGTAGAATTTTGAAAGGAATAGAAACCATTACTCGAGATGGATGGTAGCTCTAGGGCCAAAAATGGTATGCATCTTTGAATTCACTACTATTCTAGTTGCAAAAACAATCTTGGTTTTTTTAACTATTTGGATTCTTTTTTGTGTTTGGTAGATCACCAGTGTTGCTGATAGAGTTGGTGCTGGGGTTCACTTCAATCCATTCGTGGAATGGAAAGACAAAGCTTGTTTCTACAAACTTGAAAGTTCTTTATATTGTTATTATTTTTAGGTGCTCAATAATGATATTTTGCTTGATTCAACTTTTTGTATGATTTACAGATAATAAAATACGGTGTTGTGAGAATGCATGATCTGGCTCAGGATATACTTACTTGGGACCAATTCTACCTTAGCGGTCGTTTGCAGAAACCAGTATATCATTCTTGAAGTATTTTTGATTGCTTATTTATTTTTTTGGGAATTTACATACATACCACACAATTACTATGTATTTTCATATCTAACACCTAAAGTTTGATATTTACACTTATAGCACCTTGGTGTCATGAACTTATGCATGAAAATGTGTATCTCACTTTAAAAAAAAATAGTGATGGAGATAATTTTGATGCGATGTTAGAATTTTGAGTGGTATGCATGTAAATATGAATGTTTAGGTGCTAGATATGTAAATATATAAGAGTTATGTGGTATATATGTATATGCCCCTTATTTTTTTGGTTGTTGTGCCATTGTGTTTATTATTAGAGAATTAAGATTGCTTTAACAATACAACTTATCTCATTAAATTTACCCACATTTTGGTTTTGAGAAGTGTTTTCTTTTGTCTGCTTATGACATTTTTTATATATATTTATATCTATCATTATTTGCTCATATGCCCAATAAATTTTTTTTTCTGTTCATGTTGTTTCTTATAACTGTTTCCTTGCTGTTTATAAACTATTTTGCATATATGATACCCAGTAATCATTTACATCATAATTATATACTTTTCATCAGACATATTGGAAAATATAGGATGCAAAAGTGATATTACCCATGAAGCATCTAATAATACAAAGTTTTAGGGAGTTGATGTATGCATTCTTACCTCTTCTTTTGTCGTGAGTTTTTATTGACTTGGATTTGGGACATCCCAAATATGTTATTGGCAGCCTATACTCCACATCTATTCTATGCAAGAAACCAAAGAAAAAAAAAAGAGAGAAAAAGAAGATAAATCAGCTTATAATGAGGCGGTCCATCAGAGGTTTTTCAATTTAAAGATTTAAATACAATGACCATTCTGCTAACTTAATTGAGTTTATGTTGTTAATTTTACATGTTGGTCTTTATATAATATGCAAGACCACATTTTAAAAATACTATGATTAAATCTTTGAGGCCCTCATCACAATTGTTCTGTTAAGAAAACCTTTAAAAGCTTAAAATACTTCATATTTGGCTTTATTGAGGTGGAAAACGTCTTTATAGCAACTACACTTTTTGTTCCCCTCTATACCTCTTATCATTCTCATCCCAATTTTTAGGATTTATTCTCCTTGTATTTATTAAGGCTCTGGCTCACACCCTTTGTGTTTATTTCATTCTTTTTGTTTAGGTTTTTTAAGGGGCCTCATAATTTAATTTACTAATTTGCCTTTTTTTTCTATTTTAGAGTTTTTGGCACATGTTTGTCAAGTTTTTTTTTTTTTTTGGGCTCGATTTCTCGGAGTATCTTTTATAATTATTGTTCAGTGGGGACTCATATTCTAATCATTTTAGTTTTTATTTTTTTTTCTTAAAAATTTCTTTCATTCAAAATAATGATATGTAATTCTATGAAGCTGGTAAGGGTATTATAAATAAGTAAATTTACAAGTCACGTCATGATGCATGATCATGTGTTCTAAACTAATGGCTATTGGCTAACATGTCATGCTTTTGGTGCCAGGTTGAAGCCAAAAACTAATTGATTGGCCTTCATTAAATGAAAAAAAAAAACTTAACTTGCTTAATTTTATTAATTTTAAAATGATTACTTATGTGAAACGTGATCTATGTAAACCTAAATGTAATTGCAAGAACTTCTACCAAGTGCAATTCCTATACTTGCTTTTCTTATTTTGGTTCCCACTAACCGACACTCTCTATAGGCAGGGATTCACCCTATACCCCTTCCTTGTAGACCCTATAATTCCATTCAGAATACCTTGAAATTCATTTGCTACCTATGACATGTAAAGAATCACAAGGCTAGGATGGTGATTTCCTAAATTGTTTGCATCAGAGTTAGGAATTTATGTGCTATCGGATACCAAATTGGTGTGGCCTAGGGTTAAACATTTGATTGATGGCTTAGGGTCGCTTGGGGTGACTGCAGCTTCTTAAGAAGATGGTTGTAAAGCTGTGGTGGTGAAAACAACTCATAAAATTGAGGGGGAATTACAAATGAAGAAATATGATTTCCTTTTTGTGTTTTTCAAGTTTTTGTTCAGTTATTCTATTTTCTATTCGGACAATACTGATGAATTCTTCCTTCAATATAAAAGGTCTGCGTTCTTATTGATAATTGGGACATAAGAAAGGTGAACTTAGTCAATTTGAAAGCTGCCATGTGTGCTGCACTTCTCCTTCTGCCTCCTACCTTCACCGAGGTGTTATTGCTTTTTGAGTAATAGCAAAGATTCAATTTGTCATTCGGTTCTAAAATTATGTTGTGAGGATGTTATGCTTCTAATTTTTTGGAGCAGGAAGATCTTTATGTCAAAATTTGTGGCCTTTCTTACATGGGGGATCTACGCATGCTCTTTGCAGAGGACAAAGATAAGGTCAAATCTACCTATTCTGTACCTGAAGTTAATTTAAAGAAGCTTCACCTTTATGTTTATCGGATCAAGTATAGTTGAGTGATGTATGAGTTTTGAGTTTTGTCCTTTGGTTACTAAAACATCTCTTAGGCAATGTTGCATTGAATATTAGATCTGCGTTCTCTCGAAAATATTTCAAAGCTTCCAAAGTATATTAATATGGCCGATGGTATTATTTGACTTTTTTGGCTTTCAGAATGTTATATTATAAACTTTGATTTTATGAAGATAAGAAAAAATTGAATGTGCAAACCTAAAAGAACTCTCATCTTCATCCACATCGGCTAGCAACCTTTTTTGTTCAAGTTGTCGGGCAAGGCCATTTTTTTATTTTTGATGTGTGCTAGCAGTGGAAAAGGAAAAGTGCACATGCATTCACATATTTTGTTCGCATCTTGTCGATGTCCCTACATATTGAGTCGTGAAATTATTACTTTTCATATGCTGACTTGTGTGATCTTTGGTGTGTCTTGGCCATTTTGTTTCTTCAGGTTAAGAAGATCGTCCAAGGGAGTTTCAAAACATTTCAAGCAATATACAAGCCTCTTTTAAAGGAGTTTGCTGATGAAGGGTTACTGGAGTTCGGATATTGTCCTCATTCAGCATTTCAACAGGTACGCATCATGGATGCTTACCTTCATGGGTAGTTTATCCAACTGGTCATTTTTTCAATCCAACTCTTTTTCATCAAATTTGTAGTCTTAACTGCTTAAAATTTTAAATTTATGATATTTTACCTGCTTGGATTTTGTGATTGTTGATGATAATGACTTCGGCAATGTAAGCACTTTTTGAACTCTGGTGTATGGTGCTGGGAAAGAAAACTTAATGCTATTATTGGGCTATTATTATTAGGTAGACAGGCAAACATTTTCCAACAAGGAGCCAAAAAAAAAAAAAAAAAAAAAAAGAATCAACGCAACACACAACTTTATATAAAGTTCACTTGGCTGATGACTACATTGTGTTGCCGTTGTATATTTAAATGTGATTTAATTATGGAGAATTGCAACTCTAATTTCTTGTATACAATATAACGACGATGCCTCATACTGAAATTTACATATGTATCACACAATTCTTTTGTATTTACATATCTAACAACTAAAGTTTGATATTTACATTTATATAACATTTTGGAATTATAAATCTATGCATGAAAAGGTTTATCACTTTTAAAAAGTATTTAGTAGTGCTCTTTTTTATGTGATATTAAAAAATTTAGTCTTGTGTTTGTAAATATTAAAGTTAGGTGTTGGATATGGCCGATATATATATATATATATATTGTATGTATTTATATACCCAGCCAAATATCTAACAACATCACCAAAACATGTTTAGTGAAATAATCCGGAAAATACAACAAAAACATCACTTGTAACACATTTTCTTTTTAGGAAAAAAAAATAATTGGGCACCTTAACTTAAACAATATAAACACCCAAGAGATCCTGATGAGTTCTGTCCTCTTACTGTTGATTATTGATTTGCTCATACGAACTAACAGGACTGCGGATTTTCTGCCACTACATCACTCTTCGGTTCTCTTCCTTCCACAGTACATAGCACCATGTTTTGGGGAAAACATAAACGAGTCACAACAGGTAGTTTTCGTCATCTCATCATTTTCTAGTCGAGTAAAGTGCCGAAGTAGTCCATTGACTATTCACATTAGGCCATTTTAGTCCCAAAATTTATAAAAGTGTTAAATTTGTCGTGGAACTATTTTAATGGAGGCCAAAACAGTTTTCACTAGGCACCATTTCAATTCATATTAAATAAGTCTAGGGATTCAATCGACATTTTCATAAACTTTGGGACTAATATGAACCCCTAAAAAGAGTTGGAAACTTCTCTTTTCTAGTTCGATCTCTACCGACACTTACAAATCTTGAACGATTGTAGATTCAAGTTTGGCAGGTGAGTTACCGTCAGCGATTCTCGTCAACTCTAGAGAGCAGGCTTCTAGCCGTGTTCGTAGAGCTCTACGGCGTGCAGTTATGGTTTCAAGTGCACGACAAGCGGTTTCTGGATTACTTACAACTGGAGGAGTAAATGCTGCTCGCTATCTCATGAGAAAGATGTCGAAAGCTTGGAAATCTCGGACGATATGATTCTTTGGAGATTGCTCGTTCTATCAACATTTCCTATTGCAGCTCGAAAAATTTATCGGGTCAATCATAGATTGGGTCTTCAATAAAACCAAATCAGGTAAGATCATTGATGAGTTTTGCTTCTTATATTATGAAGTTTTGAGTTTAATTGCCTCGAGTACTATTTTGTTCATTTTCATTCAGTTTTGAATCATCAAGTTCGAGCTGAGTTTGAGCGAAACCTGCGTTCTAAATTCTTATTCAAATTTGTTTTTTTAGAGAGTCGTAATTGAGTCTTAATTGAGCCTAACAAAGTAGATGTTTAATGATATTTATTCAAACATGTATCCTTCTCATTAGCATTGTTGGCGCAATTTAAGCTGTTTGGTGAAGTTAACATATCACTAAGAAAATATTTTACTTTACACATCTAACACTTTAACTTTGATTTTTTATATTTATAAGATCCAAATGCAAAATCAAAATTTTGATGTTAGATATGCAAATGCAAATGCATATGAATTGTGTGGCTTGTGTGTAAATCTTCCTCTGGGGCTTTTAGATGCATGCCGCACAATTCTTATGTGTATATTTTTTGCACCTCAACCTTCATTCTTATATTTATAGCAGTCAGTGACTATGAAGCTTCACAGAACTTCATATTTTTACACTATTCATAATATAATTTATTATAAAATATAAGATTTTGATGTTTTAAAAATGTAAATTAAAAATATGTATTTCACTTTTAAAAAAATGATAATAGTAATATTTTTGACATGTTATTTAAGATTTGAGTGGTATTTGTATAAATATAGTAATTATGATGTGAGATTTGTAAATACATAAAAAGTCGTGTGCTATGTATGGTAAGTGCCAACAATAACGATTGGCCTCTAGATTTACTGGTTGGCCAGCGGTCTCGATCTCGATCTGATAACCGCATCGACGCCGGCGATGGCTTCGTTTCTCTCATCTTACCAGTACGCCGATAGCCTGGTGGTCGTCGGCATCTCCATAGGCACCGCGTTCTTATGCGAGGGCATCTCATGGATCCTCATCTACCGCACCTCCACCTACAAATCCCTCCGCTCCTCCATCGATAAAGCCTCCAAAAAGCTTGAATCCATGAAATCCCCGGCTTCCATCGCCTCCTCTGAAGGCGCAGCCGCTGTTCCACCCTCCAACGGCCGGCGATCCTCCTCCCGCGTGAAGAAGATGGATCGGGTCGAGACCAGTCTCAAGGAGTCCACGCGTGATCTCTCCCTCTCGAAGTTTAAGTCCGGATTCGTCGTTGCGGTGGTTCTCTTCGTCATCTTCGGCCTTCTTAATTCCATGTTCGAGGGCCGGGCGGTGGCGAAGTTGCCATTCTCGCCGGTGTCGTTCGTGCTCAAGATGAGCCATCGTGGGATACGTGGTAATGATGCCACGGATTGTTCTATGGCGTTCTTGTATTTTCTCTGTTCGATTAGTATTCGGACCAATCTTCAGAAGTTTTTGGGCTTCGCACCGCCAAGGGGCGCCTCGGGGGCTGGACTTTTCCCGATGCCGGATCCCAAGGCCAGTTAACTAAGGTTTGTAGAACGAGAATGAGGCTACGAGGATTGGTGTAGGTATCTATCTATCTCTTGCTATGTTTGATTCTCTGGCTCGATGTTTTCGATTGTTTCATAGTTTTTCAAAAATTCCGAATCACAGATTGATAGGATTGAAAATTTCTTCTTTTTCATGGATACTTTCTTCAGTCTGTAGGGAGAGGGGGCTTGTTTGCTCGATTTATTTTCTGATTGTTCGGATTAGAGTTGCTGTTTGTTTTTTATTTTATTTTTTTATATGTCATACTATTTTTCTTAAAGTATTATGTTACTTGTTAAAAATGTGATCTGTTATGTCCTGTCTGTTTGTTTCTTCATTTCATAACTATTATGGTTCATGTTTTTTTAATATTTGATTCATTACGCATTACTTTGTCACTTGATTTATCCTTTTTATGATTTTGTAGCCATTGGATTAAGGATGGTTTGTTATGGAAGCTGCTTAACTCCATCCTTCAATTTTGTGTGATGTGTATGTTTTGTTTATAATGGAGAAGTATTTTAATAGGAAACATGCATGGCTTGAAGATTTTTGGGTTGTGATATGATTATTAGCAGCTAGAACAGTGGGATTTTTGGACTGGAATATGTTTGTGGGATCAGCAATGTTGTTCTTTACAATGGTTGGCTTTGGTTGTGGTTAAAAGCTGTTTGAATCTTTTCACCATTCGGTATCATGTGATGTGTATGCTTTGGTTCGGATGGAGAATTTATTTTAATATGAATATGCAGGCCTCGGATATTTTTGGATTGGGAGATGAACAACAACAATAACAACAATAGGATTATGGATTGGAGAAGATATATTTGCCATCTAGCAATGGCATTTATTGGTTGGTTTTAATTGTGATTATGATTATTAATTTTGCATATACACAAAAACATTAGGGTATGATTGTCTATGATGCCAAATAATGGAAATGAATGTGTTAGAAAATGTTTCAATGGAATTTTAATTAGGAAAGGATAATCAAAAGCAGCCTACAATTGTATAAGCTTGGAAAACATGGAATGATTATATGATTTTGTTAACTATTTTGGCGAGAAAGCATCCTATGATGATCCCCATAAAGCTAGCGTAGAAGTATTAGCATGAAAGGGATTAGAATTATTTAATATAGCTCAAAGTCATTTGAAAGATTAATCTAAGGAATAATTGGATGATGACCCTATGCTAGAATACTTTTTGGAAAATGATGCACATTAAGCTATGTACAAATTCCTAAAAATGGGCCCTTTTGATGCAAATTGTTGTGCATTGATGAACTACTAAATTAGCTTACTTGGAAAATGATGCATATGAAGCGCCTGATTCACCTTTTGAATTTTTGTTGCACTTCATAATTTAGTGATGAGAAGTAATCCTTGCTTGAAAAGAAATTAGTAAACACTCGATGAATTTGGTATCATGTTAATATTTTATGACATCTAAGGTTTCTCTAGTAGACAAATTGTCAATTTTCAGCAATGTTTTTTTTTTAAGTTTAAGCATTTTAACTTTTTTTTTTTAACAATCAACTGATTTGTAGAAGCTTCTATCGGATTAGTGGCTATTTTGTCTCCTTGTCATCATTACCTATGATTCAATGGTTCGAGCCATGGATATAACTTCTTTGCAATGCACGTGTAAGGTTGCACGCAATAATCTTCCCCTAGTCCTACATAGTTTGGAGCTTCATACATTGGATGAATTTTTTTCTACAACTGTATGGTCCTAAGGCTATGTTCACTCCTGAGAGTATTGTATGTAAACAATTTTACATTTCAAGCATTGTTTAAGGATTATTGACTTGTAAACAACAATAGAATAAACTAATGTTGGGAGTGCTGTGATAATGTTAGCACACTTTGCAAAAGTTTTATATCGGTCTCAAGTTTTCAGGTGCCCAAACTTTGCATGTTTTAGTGAACTAATATAATATTAATTTGTAATGGAAATGCAGTGGCATCAGGAAAGCAACAGCTGTGGCTTATGTTCGTTACGATTGCTTAAGTTTAAAATGCTAATGTTGCTGGAAGATTATGTGGTGCTTAGTAGTGATAGGCATAACCATCATGGGTTTTGTTTGAGAAAAAATATTTTGTTGCATTCTATTAATGGAGAATATGTGCCTATAAATAGGAAGATGGAATTCAATACCAAAATAAATAATTAGGAAAATAATCATAATTATGATGATGTAAATAAACATCATCCTAATAAGGTATTCTCAAAATTTATTTTTTCTCGATATTTTTTATTAATATACCACTACTTGCCCTCAAGTTGAAGCGTATATATTTGTTAGGTCCAATTTGTTTCTTGGATAAGAAATAAGAGACATCTTGGGGTCTTGGTAAGGATATCTGCCTCTTATATAGAACTAAAAATATGAGTAATAATCTTTTTGGAAAGCATTGCATTCCATTTCATATGAAATGACAATTATCAGGATTGTTGCACAACTGTCAAAAGTAGAGTCGTAGGCTGACTAATAAGAAAACAATATTCTTGTAGAATAGTTTTACCCACCGTTTCACATGCCGAATGAGTCATAACTTTGTATTCATCCTCAGTACTGGACCTAACTACAGCAGTTTGTTTATTACTTACCTGCTTAGTTTTCAACTTAAATAGCATAGCTAGCATCAGAGAGTGTTTCAATGTTTAGCGTTCAATTTTATTAGATATCAATCTAGTTTCTAGTGTTCTTATTGATTTATATGATAATTCAATACAGCTTGCTGATGCATTGTCAACATTAGAGAATATTCCAATATTCAATTGCTCAAACTTACCTTATAGCAATTCTTTTGCAAGGGACTTCTTCATATACATAGGAATTCACATAACAACTTACTATCTCTTTTATTTATATTTTGCATGTCTTAGCTAATAACTCTATTATTGATGAGATGCCAGCCCTAATAATAATCAAGTTAACTTTTTGAAAGTAGGATGAAAGAAGAAAGTCCCACATTTTATAGCTAAATCTTGAAACATGACAGTTGAGGTAAGTGAAGGCTTAAGGTTATTTTGCAATTAAGCAAGGGCATCATAATAAAATGCTTGGCCTTTGAAAAACTTAATGTTGTCACTATTGTTCGGAGGAGATGCGTGTGGTGTTTATTGTGGAACTGACATGGAATTTAAAGGCCTTCAAATAGTCAGCGCCATTAATTCTGACGATGGTATCAATGGTGCTGCGTAGTTTCGTCTCTTAAATATAAGAAATAAGGTACATAGATTCTATGGGAAATTCAATTAATGGAGAATGGTGAACTTAACTTGATGCATTCCAATAATCTCTAAACTGAACAAGTGGGATTCTTCCCATAATTGTGATATCTTTTTTAGTTGGTACAAGCACTCAACAACAGGATCAAGCACAAACATATGATGCCTTTTGTCACACAAAGATCACCTTAATTGAATTTTTTGGTGAAAGGCCCCATTTGCCTCCACTAAAATGTTTTTTTAAAATAAAACTCTAGTAGGTTGGCAAGTTTGTGCCTTTCAGTTCCAACACTTCTGCTTTTGAGGCTACTCATCTCACAGTCTCAAAGAGGAGCCGCAACCTGTGACTCCATAGCATTTTCCCTTTGCACCCTTCGCATCCGTGGTTTTTCAAGCAGAAGGACGACATTTGCCCTTATTGTTCGCCGAGCACTGCAGTTACGCATCCCGTCCAGCCATGGAGCACTATGTTACACCAGAGAAACTTTGGTGCATTTTCACTATAATTATTTGAAAGATGAGACAAAGGCTCTAAATTTCAAAAGATCATGTTATCATAAGCATTTTAAGCAAAGCAGACTAAGCCAATCACACAAATAACTCAAGAAATCCACTCACTTGAAATTACAAAACAAAATATGGCATGACCGACACATTACAAAACATAGATGCATTGGTCAGTAAGGCTTTCTTCTCTTTTATTTATTTATTTTTTTCTAGGAAGGCTTTGTTCTTGTTGAAGCTATAAGCTGGAGATTATTACTCAAAACATTATGGCTCAAATAATTCCTAGAAAAAAAAAAAGCAGGGCTCTGAAGTAAGCTTTGAAAATGTGCAGCTTTTGATTCAGTTTGGCAGCCTCTGCACAGGGCATTGATCATTTTGCTTGGACAGACGATGGTGACTTTTGAATCTTGTTCACTAACAAACTATGATAGATAAGGATTGCATTTTCTTCCGAATTGGCATAGAATGGTAGACTTATGAGCTCAAACAACAGAGCTTTTTAGTAGAGTTTTAATTTTCAAAGCAAAGGCGAAACTTTAGATATGTATTGTGATGATTAAATTGTATCTTGGTTTATCCGTAATAATTAAATTTTAAAATAGTCCCTCAACTATTATCGTACGGTCGATTTAATCTCGTCCTCTTTATTTAGTCTTTCAATTCTACAACATTGATTTAAAACCCTGATGTATAAATTGTGATGCAAAATTCATCAGAATTCAATCCCCTTGCTGCACAAAATTGATCCTAATTTAGTACCTTCGAGATTATTTTGGACTGATTTTGTATGGCCGAGGGATTAAATTAGTGAAATGTGATGTTATGGGATTAAATTGGTCACATGCAAATATTTAAAAGAGTATCTGCAATCAATTAACCTAATCTTATGCCAATCATATTTACCAATCATACTAAGAAAAGTTCTGCTACATTATGCTTTTTATGTAGCGAAAGATTGAAACTTGTTCAGAGATGAGTTGCCTAGAAGTATTATATACATGATTGAGTAGATAAAATTTAATTTATCAATCTTAATTTGATAATTGATAAATGATGAAGAATAGAGGTAGGGTTTTCTATTGTGAATGGGAGCTTTGAGCAACAAAATCATAGGTATCTAACTGAATGTGGTAGAAATGTAATTATAAGAGATGAACTTTAAGCAAAACTTGGAATTCATAAGCTTTTTGCTGATAAAATCTTATGCACTATTTGATCATATATAGCTGAGTTGATGAGACCTAGTTAGTGCAGTTTTGAGAATTTGCATTTTTTTTATTCAATTTGCGAATATAACCTATGATTCATAATGTAAATATTTTCAAATGTGGTGGATCTCAGGTGCATCATAGTGCTTTATTTACATTATACATATATTGGTTTGGACTAAAATTGATATTTTTATGGACTCTGGACTTCAATCAGCCCAGCCCTTGGACTAAAGTTTGTTAACGATCCAATTTCGAGCTCAGCCCTGCTAGGCTAGGCTCAAAATCGGCTTCCGGCTTGAGCTGAGTCGGCTCGAAATTGAATCGAGCTCGATCCGGCTTGAAATCGAAATGAGCTGGCTCAAATTGAGTTGTTTGGATTCGTTTCAGCTCGGAATCAGCTCAATCCGTCTCAAAATTGAAACTGACGGACTCAAATTGAGTTATGTGGATCAGTTCCAGCTCGAAATAGGTTCAAAATTGGCTCGTCACTCGATATATTCAATTCTACTTAGCATTATATGATGATTCTGCTGTATTAATTTTTGATTTTTTGTTAGCACTAAATTGTGAAGGCTAACAATGTTCCACTTTCTTTTCTGCTTGAAGGATCTGCTTGAAGGATCTGATTATCGAAAGGTGCAGACGCGCACAATCCGAAGAGAGTTCGTCATATATTGCTTAACATTTTGTATTAAATATTAAATATTTATACCATTCATCTTTTAAATCTCTATTTAATATGTAGACAAGTTTATTGCTTAATATTCCCGGTTTAAGCTTCCCTTGTGTATTTGCTTCTTTTTTTTTTTAATGTGAATAATAATTTTTTTGTTGCTGTAGACTAGAAAAATCATATTTACATTCATAGCACCCAAAATATTGTTATTTGCAAAATCTAGTACTCAAAGTGATATTTTTGAACTACTGAATCGATATATTTATGTGTGATACGATAAAATCGATAAGAATTTGATAAAAAAATGAAAAATATAGGCGGGGCTTTTATCATAAAGCTTGATATAAGAGTGAGACTTTAAAGAAATGGATGAGAGATAGTGTTTGATTTGTAAATAGCAAAATTTCGGCTTAAATAGTTTTTTTATAATGATTTCTAGTTATTTCTCCATCTCTATTGCTTATACATGGCACCCGAAATTTTACTATTTACAATTCTAACACCTGTTATTCATTTTTCAAATTCACACTAAAAAATCAAAATTTATGATAAAAGCCCAACCGTATACTTTCATCTTCATCAAATTCTTAGTGTTTGATTGTAGCATACGTAAATATATCAGTTTTATGTAGTTCTCAAAAATAACATAAAGTGCTATTTTGTAAATAGTAATATTTTGAGTGATTTATATGAAATTCATCATCCCTTGTTTCTAATTTAGACTTTTGAGTAAACTTAAATTGTAAATTCTCACGAGGATATTATCCTCTGGTGTAGGTATTAACCCCATTGGTCACTGATTGGGTCTCTGTATCCAACCGGTCAGGTAATAACATAAATAAGGAGCATTTTCATGCACCACAGATCTTTTATGTTTACATTATCCAATACATTTTTAAGCCTCATCTTACCCGAATTTAAGTTAATCTAACCTAATTTCTTCCTTCATCCACAATTCTCTCAAGCATAAAATATTTCAACTTAGGCCCACCAAAAAAAAACATAAATAAAATATATAATAAGAATGAAATAAAACAAGGAAAATTTACATCCAAACCACAATTCTTATGTATTTATATATCTAACACCTAAATTTTAATATTTAAACTTTTAAATAACATCCTAGTATTTGCACACATTCATGAAAAGGTATGCTAAACTTTTTAAAAGATAATGATGGTGATATTTTAATGTAAGGGCATTTACGTGCATAGCACAAGATCCTTACGTATTTATATATCTCACACATAAATTTTCATATTTACACGCATAACACTTAAATCTTTAATATCACATCAAAATTAACAATCTTACCACTTATCACTTTTTGAAGTGCAATACATCTTCTGAAGCATAGGCTTAAAACAGCAAAGTGCCATGTATGTAAATTTCCCTTAATGTAATGTTAGACATTCGAGTTATATGCATATTACATATAAATATGAATCTTTAAGTGCTAGATATATAAATACATTCAAATTATGTAGTGTATATAAATGCACCATATATATATATATAAGCAATAATTAAGGGAATTGAGAGCCACAATATTAATTTACAATACCAAACTGAAATAGGAGAGTAGCAAACCACAGCTTAAAGAGTTCCAGTGACAATGATTCTGAAAGGCGAGCCACGGCAGAAGATCGGTTCATCTGCTGAATCAGTTCTCGCTCGAGCACGAAGCACATCGTTCTCATCGTCTATTACAGCTGCAGCTAACAGCGTGTACTCTCCCGGCACCAAAAAATACAGCGAAAAAGGATGCACCAACTCCTCCAGGGGAGGGATCTCCAAACTGATTCCACTCAGGATACCTAAACACAACACAGGCAATGAAATGGTTAGGGTATGAGGTGGTTTACGTACATACATCTAGGGGACATTTACATACATACCACCTAATTCATATGTATTTACATTTACATATGTAAAACCTAATTTTTTTTTTGATATTTTAATGTAAGGGCATTTACGTGCATAGCACGAGGTCCTTACGTATTTACATATCTCACACATAAATTTTCATATTTACACGCATAACACTTAAATCTTTAATATCACATCAAAATTAACAATCTTACCACTTATCACTTTTTGAAGTGCAATACATCTTCTGAAGCATAGGCTTAAAACAGCAAAGTGCCATGTATGTAAATTTCCCTTAATGTAATGTTAGACATTCGAGTTATATGCATATTACATATAAATATGAATCTTTAAGTGCTAGATATATAAATACATTCAAATTATGTAGTGTATATAAATGCACCATATATATATATATAAGCAATAATTAAGGGAATTGAGAGCCACAATATTAATTTACAATACCAAACTGAAATAGGAGAGTAGCAAACCACAGCTTAAAGAGTTACAGTGACAATGATTCTGAAAGGCGAGCCGCGGCAGAAGATCGGTTCATCTGCTGAATCAGTTCTCGCTCGAGCACGAAGCACATCGTTCTCATCGTCTATTACAGCTGCAGCTAACAGCGTGTACTCTCCCGGCACCAAAAAATACAGCGAAAAAGGATGCACCAACTCCTCCAGGGGAGGGATCTCCAAACTGATTCCACTCAGGATACCTAAACACCTCACAGGCAATGAAATGGTTAGGGTTTGCAGGCAATGAAATGTTTAGGTATGAGGTGGTTTACGTACATACATCTAGGGGACATTTACATACATACCAACTAATTCATATGTATTTACATTTACATATATAAAACCTAATTTTTTTTTAAAATTTATACCATCCAAATCCTTTCACATAAAAAAATACCACAATTTTAACTTTTAAAAAGTGAAATACAACTTGTCAAGCATATGCAAGGTGGTATGCCCGGTAACAGTTGAAGTTTTGGTGTTAGATGGGTAAAAACATAGGAATTGAGTGGTATGTATGTAAATCTTCCAAGAATATTTGAATAACTACAATGGTGCAAAAAACTGGTGCAGCCAAATGAATAAAGTGTGCTGGTGAAAGCACACAGATTAGACTTCAAGTAGCCAAGCATACAAGTCCTAAATTTTTACATACTGACAAACACAGCATGTATGAAAGCAGTAAAATTTTGCATCATGAAAGAAAATAATCCTCGTATGGACAAATCTAGCGAAAAAAATTAAAAAATTAGATTATCAAATATGAAATGACAGTAAATGAATTGAACAATTCATCTTAAATTACCAGCCCATAGAACGGTCGCATTATCGCCCTCAATGCAATTATCCCCAGCCACATCTCTGCAATTGATACTAAGGCTCATTTGGATCAACTCCCTCGTGTTGTTGCGAATCAGAACTTCGATGTCAGTCATTTCATGTACTGATATAGAACTCTGGTGCAATGCTTGAATCACATCGCTATGCACACTTTTTGAAGCATCAGCGATATTTTCTGTTTTAGATCTCCCATTGGTTAACCTGAATCCAAAAGTTAAAGGATCCGGAAGCAATATATCCATTACTGAAGTTTGCAAAGCTGCCTGGACTGCATCCTTAATGTTCAACTCACCCGAACTATTTCGCCCTGATTGCCATCTTACTTTTATTTTTGAAACCAAGTTGGAAATTGAAGCGGCTAACTCGGCCTTCGTATTCCGCTCCGCAAAACTCGAAGATTTGCTTACAAAAGCAGTGCTTTTTAGACCTTTAGCGAACAAGGAATTATCGAGAACAGGTAGCTTAAAGTGCTCGAGCGGTACCAACACACGCGCAGAGCAGTTGTGGTCAATTCTGGTCTTTGGGCACCCAAATTCAGCAGTGTCGAATTGGACTGAAACATTAACGTCAAACACAACATCGGTTGGATTTGATAACTCGAGTTCAAGAAGCCGTAGCTCCCAACTTCCTCTGTATGGATCAATCTTAACCAAACTATCAATTCTACTATGAGCAGTAATCTCTTCAGCATCACTTTCGTTAAGGGAAACACGCTGCGGAACGGCAACGCTAACACGTGCGGGAATTTCCATCGAAAATAAGCGAGCCTTTACGAAACGCAATCCCTGTACGACACCAACATGCAATGGAACAACCAAGCGCCTTCCTGGAGATACAGATGGTTCACTGGAATAGAATTCATCCGTATGTGAGATTGGCCCTGCTAAGAAAAAGCACACATTATAGATTAATATATTGATAATCATTTGTAGTTACTCCTTTTATATGCATAAAGCTCCTAAAATTAAATCTAAATTTTATTTTGAGATATTTACTTACATAGCACGCAATTCTTATGTATTTACATATCTCACACCTAAAATTTTATATTTACATACATGACACTCAAATCTTTAATATCACATCAAAAGACATTATTATCATTATTTAAAAGTGAAATACACTTTTCATGCATAGGTTTAAATGATCTGGTACAAGATGAATAAAGAGATGTAATCCAAATATCTCCCAAAAAAATATCTCCCAAAAAACTACAGATAAAATATCTTTTTGAGACTTCATCATTTATAGCAGGACCTATCAACAAAGGAATACTGAATTTGAACAATTCATTCTGAAGTGAGTTGGTAGAATTAGAGAATAACACCATAGCTTAGTATCTTGGAAAATTGAGACCTTCTATTGGTAATATGGTGCAGTTACATCCCTACTGAACCTTGCAGGATAAACAGACCTTAACCATGAAAATAAAGAAACATCAAAGTAACATTAAGTCCATTGCCACTAAATTACCAAGACCTACCCCTTATAAGGAAAAGCCAACACATGATAAAAAAAGACTGATTGGGCCAGTAGAGGCAAGACATTCTCAATCAAAAAGTGTTTCAACTGAGTTATTTATTTTATGGAGTAGGGTGTAGTGGAAGAAGCAGATGGTGGAGGCTAGAAATGACGAAAGGGGGGAGGGGGGGGTGGGGGGGGGGAGTATCAACTACATGGAAATAAGGGTGAAATACATGTGTTTCGACATGTTCTGCATATCAATGCAAGAAAAGACAACAGTAAATTAAGCACAACATCTTTCATCCTCATTGCACAGTGAAAGAAAAAGTTTGCAACTTCATTATAGACAGAAGTTAATTATGAAAATGTCGTGTCTGCATAGATAAGAAACAAATTAAAACTCACTACCCATAAATATTCCCAAACATATCATCTGATTTGATCAAAGAAAAAGAATGAGGTTAGTGTTGACAAGAGGTGTTTGGTAGAGTTCTCCATCAAAGATTAGCTACATAATCAAATGTGGTGTGACATTATGCCATTCATTAGCTACATAATCAAATGTGGTGTGACATTATGCCGATGAATGTACGTCACATGTGACATTATGCCATTCATCTGCTGGGCTGACCAAGGCAACATGACAAAAGTACACTTCATGATAGCCACAAAAATAACTAATTTATCAAGGATGCGAAGCGTATTGTCCAATTGCTCTTAAAGTAGTAGCAATAATACGTACTTAGACAAAGATGGGAGTTGCAGTGCTTCATATTATATTTCTACGAGTTCTGAGAGAGCACCAGTGAGATCGAACTTGATGATGTCGAAGAGCAATAAGATGGAGGAGTTGATATCTAAGGTAGTGTGGCCCCTATTGAAGGAGATTCAAAATGTTTTGATTGGCAGCTTATCACCCGAATTATTGCCCCTACGCGATATTCAACATGCTATAGAACTCGTCTTAAGATTAGCTCTCCCCAATCAATTAGCCTACACCAAATGTGACTAATAGAGTATGAGGAGCTACAAAAATAGGTTGAGGATTTGATGACTAGAGGACTAAACTGTGAGAATATCGGTGTGTGTTGTATTAGCTTTGATTGTGCCCAAGAAAAAGAGTCTTGACATATATGCATTGATGTCAGGGAAGTGAATAAGAACACCAACAATTACCAATTTTTTTTTATTTCGAGATTAGATGACTTGATGGATCAGTTATATTGAGTTACTATCTTTTCCAAGATAAATCTGCACAGTAGACTCCATTAGATTCGAATGTGCCTTTGGGATGAGTGCAAGGCCTCTTTCGAGATGGAATGAACTTTATGAGTGGATATTTATGTTTTTTGGCTTGTCCAATGTGTCGATCACGTTTATGAGGCTATGAACCACATTTATCGAGCTTTTATCAAAAAATTGGTAATTGTGTCCTTTGACGGTATTATAGTAGGCAGAGCATTTGCAACACCTATGATATTCTAGTTGTTTAGAGGAAGATCATTTACAACACCTATGATAGGTTTTTGGAATTCTTCAGACAGAGCACCTACATGGTCATCCAAAGATATGTCACATGTCACTTTCAACACAATAGATGAGCTTCCTAAGATATAATTCATTTGTCGGCATGGACATGAATCCAACTAAGAATAAGGCTATTGTTAACTAGCCCAATCCACAGTCATTCACTCATGTATGCTAATTTCATGGATTGACTTATTTTTATAAAAGATTTATCAATACTTTCAGCTCTATAATGGCACAATTGATGAAGCTTTTCACGGCAGATAGATATGCATGGTTAGCAGATGCACAAATTAGCTTTGATGCCTTGAAAAAACAAGTTACTCAGGCCTACGTTCAAGCCTTCCAAATTTCATTCAAGTGTTCGTGGTGGAATGTGACACCTCTGATGTGGGGATTAGAGCTATACTGAGTCAAGATGAACATCTCATTGCCTTTTTGGTGACAAATAGAATGAATATGAGGCTCAAACATTCCAATAATGGGAAAAAGTTTTATGTTATTGTGAGAGCTCTCAACCACTAGAGTCATTATTTATAGGCCAACGAGTTCACCCTCTACACTGCTCTTGAGGTCTTCAGATTCTTGAGCAATCAAAATAAGTTGAAGGATAAGCATATCTCCTAGGTCGAGTGCCTTCCTTTCATTTTGTGCATAAGACAGAGAATCAGGAGCGTAAATAAAATAGTTGATGTCTTGAACCGCTGCCACTTGTTAATTAATATTATGCAATCGAAGATAGTTGAATTTGAAACATTAAAGGGTGCATGTCACTAATGAGGATTTCCAAGAGAAAAAAAGCCATTACCAGGGCATACTGGACGAATAGTACCACAACTCCAAACTTTATGTTATTTCAACACAGGATGTGCATTCCTAAGAGAGTTTGCTGAGTGAGTCTATTTTACAAAAGTGTCACAATGGAAGAATATTTGGGCATTTGATAGGAACAATGCTCATCGCTTGGTGACAAAGTATTTCTACAACCTAGATTGATACAAGATGTAGATAGGTAAGTGAGTTAGTGCTAGATATGTCATCTAGCTAAGATTAAGGGTTATAATACAAGATTTTAAACTCCACACCTATTCTAGAGCTCCATTGGGTGAATGTAAGGATGGACTTTGTGGTGAAATTGTTTCAAACATAATGAACTCTGTAATGGTAATAATAGACCGTCTCTTCAATAGTAACATTTTGTACATTATCACAAGACGATGAATGCTTCATATATTTTAGATTTATATTTCAAAGAAATATTTCATCATCATAGCATACCCCCAATCCATCACGTCACACACACATAAATTTTCTGAGTCATTTTTGGAAGAACGTATAGGATAAGTTGCTCAAGTTTAGTTCAAGAACACACTAACAAATAGATAAACAGATAGAGATGAATTGCAAATTGGGAAACCTCCCTAAGAAATATATGGAAAAGAACATGAGGTAGTGGTATTTGATTCTTTCTAAAGTTTTTCTATAATAGATCTACAAACTAGTTCAGATGCCACAAAACATTTGGAGTTGTATACGGGCAAAACCTTATCGCACCATTAGAGCTAGTGCTTATTCATCCAATCACTGAGCTTAGTTTTGATGCAGAGGCCTAAGTTAGAAAGATTCACGCCTTACATGAGTGGGGGAGAAGAGAAATTGCCAAGCATTTCACCAAGTACTAGAAGTAGGCTAACAAGTAACAAGTCCATGAAAGCTAGGATTTTCAAAGAAGGTGACATGATTTGGATCGGATTGAAGAATGAGTTTTCCTATAGGGTCATTTGGAAAGCTAAAATCTATAGTTGGCGGGTCCACTCAAGATTATTAAGATCAATGATAGTGCATAAAAGATTGATCTGTCGGAAGACAACAATATTTTTGCTAACTGTAACATCACGGACTTGTTGTCATATTAAAATGATCTAGAAGCTTCTGAATTAGAAAGTGTGCCACCTCCTAGTTAAAGAGAGTGTCACTTGAGTGTCCCCGCCCAAACAAGACGGGACAATTGCGGGACTTGTGAGGCCTCAATTTACCTAATTTTAAGTTATAATTATGATTTCAAGTTAAGAATGAGTACACTGATTAGTTTTTTTATTTCTACCTAGTTCAATTTCAATGCAACACGTTTGAACTCAACTTAACACCAAAACCCTAAATAAAGCAGCAAACTTAAAAAAACAATAAACAAAAACAAAATTTGAATAATTGAATTGTTTCAACATAGTACTATGTGATTACTTAACAAATCAGCAGAAAGGTTTTCTATCAAATAGTCTATGAATAACAAAATAAAACCTAAAAAAAGAGTAGAGAACAAAAGCACGAGTCAAAAAAATTAAGTCAAGGTATTACACAAAGAAAGGGTAGATTGCACTTTACCAGCATAGTGGATAACTAAGAAAGGATTGCTGCTTTCCGTAGACACACCCCTCGTAGCACCAGAAGTGTTCTTGCCAGGATCATGACCAGAATCTGCCAAACTAAGCTTCCATGCCTTTATAGTCACTATAAAGCTAACCTCTGCACCAGGTTTCAAAGGTAGCGCTGAATTTAAACTTTCATGCGCAATAGAGGTCACAGAATTTTGATTCCTCCCTGATAATGATATATGTGCTTGTTCGATTGGCACTGTTCCAGCATTTGTTAGACGAATCCGAATATCACGAATTTCACCTTCATACAAAATCATTGCACCATCTCCCCCTACAGCATAAGAAACTAGTAGCGGCAAAGGCGATATCACCGTAATATTTGGGACGACAACATTTTTCAGTTTGACTGAACCACAACATCTGAAAGGATCAGAAAGAACGAGGCCTTGTGCAGCTCCAAGAAGCAAGTCATCAACATCTCTGAATAGATGTTCTGTGATGACGCCGAAACAGTGTACGATGCATCCAGGAATTGAAACAGGGCCTATCTTTGTTGGAATTCCTGATAACAAAACAACTTTGGCTGTGTTTGGTGGAAGATTTACTCTGACAGGAAATGCATCGAAGTTCCCAGAATGAATTGAAAGATAGATGCTCTCCACCGATAACTCAAACGCACAGGGATTGGCCAATTCCACCAGAACTTGATCTGGTTCCCCAACGATCCAATTTAACTCGAGCTTATTACTGTCAGTTGTACCGCCCTTGCTGAAAGGTGTGTAAATAAATGGTCCTGAAGGAGCTGAATCAGTCCACCAATCATTTTTGGCTGGGTTTCTCTTAATTATCTCCATTTGAGAGGGATGCATTCGAAAGGAATGCAATCTGGAAGAAACAATAAGCAGTGTTGAATACAAAACTAGTGGCATATCATAATAGTTTAAACTGGTTCCAATATGATGCAGTTTCACAAATGTACTGAGTTAAACCATAAACAAAATAGGCATGACATTTTCATCAACAAATCTGAATCTGCAGGCGCAAAGACTAAATAATACGACGACCAGAAATATTTAAAGCCATAACTAATATAAAAATTTTATTAATTTAACCATATATGATTTAACCAATTAGACAAATTTCATTACAGTTCTTTTATGACTATAATCATGAAGCATTAATTAAGGCTGATTCATGGCAGTATGGTTTCACATATTGTAGCAATCCAAATCAATGTGAAGTATGATTTCAATCATTGGGCAGTCAATGCTGCCAAACACAAGTAAATATGAAAGTATAAGGGAGTTAATATAAATGAATTAAAGCCTTGGAAATGCATTAGCCCAAATGTCGTTATAATATTGTTCAGTATAAATGCTCAAACTTGTTGCTCAAATCACCAGAACAACTGTTCAGGTTATGTTCATTAGCGCTCAAACATAATTAACTGACATCATTCCTGATTTCACGAGAGATAAAAATGAAAGCGGTACAAGTCAGTCTATTAAAAAAAATTCCTATGCGCCTTTTGGCAAGTCAAATTTTGCCCTTTTCCAGCAATTATATGGATCAAATCAGATTTGAAGCTTTTCTGAATGAAGTTGGATAAATAATAACTTTTATTCCTTCCCGCACCTCATTTTTTATTACCGTGGAAATCCACACAGCAATATATATATATATATATATATATTATATATATATAAGCTTACATCAGTAATACTGAGTGATGACAGCCGCAACAGCCAAAAATTAATTGAATATCAAATTAAAGGAGGCGAAAGCTCGTAAAAGGCATTAAAAGAAAATTGTAGATAATCACTGCTACTGAAATGAGGTATAGGAAACACAAAGAAATATTATTATCCAGGTAGAATGCTTATCCATCCTAAACAAAGGCAGAGAAAATAGAAATATAAATGGAAATGTATTTTGATTTAGTTCATTACATCTCATCCAGTCAAGTGATTGTGTGTAGTGTATTTAAAGACAATACAGAATGTGTAATCAGAAGCAGATGCAAAATTTGTTATAAATGAATTGTAGATATTAATGGGATGGTTATCAATGGATGGTGAGAATAACGCTTTAGAAAGAGTGGTAGTCTCAGTGTCAACTGGATTAGTAGAATCACTGCATATCATTTTATAACAGCTGCAGGAAGGGATTTCTGCATATCACTTTCACCTCCTCTCAATTTTGAGGTCCAAGCTTGGATTGACTACTTGTCTCTAAGATGGTGAAATCAAGTGTTAGAGATGGGTTTTGTAAGGATCAGTAAGCCGATCCAAGAAAGGACACATAGAAACCTCTTTAGTTTTGATGTAACCTCAAATACAACAATTTCAGTTTATATTGTGCAAGCGTGAAAATTTGAATTGTTAGCTAAAGACAGCTAAAATGTAAACATCTGCTTTCCTGCGGATAAGTTGGTAACTCACGGGGTGTTGAGGCATTTTCACGCAGCTTGTCCCTTAATCCACAGAAGTGTCAGTTCTAAATGAATGAAACAGGGCAGGATAGACTAGCTCCCTTGCTCCTTTCAATGGTCAGGGTCTCAAGATATAGAGAATAGGTTGTTTGTTCGGGGAAGAGAACAGCTAGTGTATTTGGAAATGGCCGGTTAGCGTTAGCAGGAGGAAAAGGACCAGACTGAACTGAGGTGTGGCAAAACTTTAGGCATTTTCAAGTTCTTGAAGCAACCAACGACGCCATGTAATATCCATGGCTGCAAAAGTAAATGCTTGATACTCATTATCAGTTGATAAGTGAGCAACAGTAGCCCGCTTCTTGACACAATGAAAGCACAAAAATTAGTAGTTGATTTTGTCTAGCGAATCTCTTGCCCGATCAAAGTAAAAAAATTCTGAAGCTATAGCTGTCCTTTATATATTGGGATACCGTGGTTAATAGTTCCCTTGATATATCTTAGGATACATATAAAATAATGATAATGACTGTTAAGAGGAGCATCCATGTGTTGGCGAAACTTTTAATAACAAAAGAGAGATCTGGTCTAGTTACAATAAGATATTGCAAATTTGCAATGTTACTACTATAAGCCGACAATGAGTAGAATTATCATATAGTAGTTGTGCCATATTGGTTTGATAAAGTTGGACAACATATAAAAATAAAATATAAATCCATCAGCTACAACAAGTTTTGCATATCAAGGAAATGAAAATAGTCCCAAGTTGCGCATATTGAATCAATCCTCTAAATTTGTAGCAAATTACTAATAAAATCTTAAATTTTTTTATGAATGATATTGCTGATATGTCATTGACATAGACCAACCTGTAAACTGCGGTTATCAAATCTTTATAAAGCAACAAAGACAAATTAATAGTGCTAGAAGATAATCTGTGAAGGTGGCAAACCACTATCCAGGCACTTCTTTTAAATCAGATAGAATTTTAAGAAGGCATGCATGATCAAGATATTGATAGTCACAAAAACCCCATGATTAGTTCATGTATGCTGTTCATTTAAAATACCATAAAATAGCATTAGACAAATCCGTTCCAATTGCATGCTAGAGTAGCAACAAGCAAAACTCTTATGGTAGGCATCTTTACCACGAGAAAAAGTTCCATTAAAATCAATGCCCGGATCTTATATGTAACATTGCATGACAAGTCATGCAATGACTCTAACAAACATACCATCAAGATTGTATTTCGTTTTGAAAAAATCATTTAGGGAGGACCAAGTAACGAGCTGCAATGCTAAAATTCCGTAGATGTAGCTTTTCACCCTTTGTTGTCTTTGACAGCAAACAAGTAACAGGTAGATCCTTGAAATTTGCTTGGATTTGAGATGGCCTTTTTTAAACCGAGTCTGCGTAGGATGTCCAGAAAGAACTTCGGGCAATGAAGAAGGGATTGGCGAAAACAAGGATTCAAAAGCTAGAGTGGGTGACCGATTTATTTGTAAGAAGATAATTTTCAAATCACAAATTCTTCTATTGGGTAGTTTGTGCATTATTGTGCTTCTTCTTTCTCTCGGTGTTCATGATGTGTTGCCCCAACTCCTATGTGTATACTTGGGGTGTGGAGTTATTTATGGTGATTTGCATTCATCATTTTGCATATTATCCCTTATATGCACACTAGATTTTTTTATTTTTTTATTTTTTTTTTTGTAAACATGGAGTTCTTGGTTCTTGGTGGGAGCTCTGCGAGAATTTACTGGTGTAATATGCTCGCTTTCTGGTTGATTTGTGATAGTAGGGAGACAAGAGTGGGTTCATCAGAGATATAAGAGAGGCGAGCTTAAGGTTCATAAATGGTATCCCAAATCAGATATTCTCTCCAAATCTTCTCCTGAATGTTAGATTTTGGGTAATATAATTGGTTTTTAAAGAATTTGACATCTATGTAGTTGCAAAATTTTTGTATTTCTGGATAATAACATTTATACCCCTTTTGTTTGAAGAATAACCCCACAAAGATGCATTTGAATGGTTTGAGATCAAATTTGGTCTAATTAGGTTGATGAAGATAAACAAAAATAAGGTAACCAAAATTTTTTAGTGATAGGTTAGAGGTAAAGGACTGAACATATGGGTAGGATTTTACGAGGGTGTTGAGAGGTTTATTAAAGTTTAGCACTCTGTTGGGCATCCTATTTATGAGATAGGATAATGTGAGAGTGTTTGAGTACATTGTTAGTGAATAAATTAATCAGGCCACTTCAAGGAGATATTTGTTCTTTCTCTCAGCCAAACAATTTTGTTGAGGTGTCTCAACAAAAGCTTATATGAATGAAGTCATTTGGATAGACAAGGGCTGAGAGTGAAATTGTAGTAGACTTTTGCGTTATTGGTTTTGAGAATTTGAATTTTGTTCTAAAATTGGTTGAGGATCTCATTGTTGAAGGTTTCAAATATGCTAGCAATTTCAGATTTTTCCTTCATATGAAAGGCTCAAGTGGTTCTGGTGTAGTCATCAATGAAAGTGACACCACCTAGTCCCATTTGTAATTTTTTTTTTTTTTGAGGGCCCCTAGATATCACTATGAACCATAAAGACGGGATGCATTAGTTTGTATTTCAGGCTTAGGTACAATGGTCTAGTACGTTTAACAATTTGACAAGTTTAACACTGATAAAGAATTGAACTTTTTATTGATAAATAAATAGGAATACAATTTTTAATATAATAAAAATTAGGATGCCCGAGGCAAAATGTCATAAGATAATTCGGCTCTCACGAGAAACATATTCAGAAATAATATTTAAATCAAAGAATTATGAATGATGGGATAGTCTTTTTGAAACGGGAGACCTAGTGAGCAAATAAACTTTGTGATACATATCAACACTGCCAATCACTTTCTCCAACTCTATCACCTGTAATTCACACAAGTTATAAAAGAATTTATTAACACAATTCATGTCACGAGTGAATCTACTGATAAATAATAAATTGCAGTGAAGTATAAAAATATAAAGCACGCAATGAAAAATAAGATCATTTGGGAGTTTCACACTTCCTCTTCCTTCCACAGATAAGAGGGAGCCATGTGTAAATCTAACTGCAACATTGTATTTGCAAGAATGGAATGATTGAAAAATAATGATAACATATGTCATGTGATCAGATGCTCTAGAGTCCACTATCCAAGACTGATTCTTTCTATTGAGAGCAACAAGAGAAGATGAAAAACTACCTTAATGTGGTAGAAGGGTACTAGAAGACTCAAAATACTGTCCCATAAGCCTTTCAAGAGCTTCAAGTTGTTCCTTGTTGAATGAATTTTGTTCATGAGGCTTGTCTTCCTTTAATGTTGAGTTTGCTTATTTTCCCTCTCACCTTTGACTTTGTTGAGCTTCAAATCTACAGGTTTTTCATAAATTTTCAAGCACTTTTCCTTTATATGACCAAACTTTTTGCAAAGTTCACAGCACGGTCTATTCCTCTTTGATTTATTTTCCAGTAATGATTTATGAGAGTACAAAGTCGAGTTGTCAACATTTGATGTAATAAGATTACTTGCCATCATGAGCTTGTTCCCCTTCTCTTCCCATCGTAATTTAACAAAGGCTTCACAAATTGAGGGAAGAGGTTTAGTTCGCCTATTCTTCATCTGATTTCATCTAGTTTCTTGTTAAGTCATAGAAGAAACCTAATTGTTCTCTTATGTTCAACAATAATTTTGTAAAAGGCAGTCTTGTGAGCACATTCATATGTATGTTTCATAATTCATACATAACATATCTTATCGGAGCTAATATTTAGAGAGAATTTCAAAATATTGAGTAACATTCAACTCAACCTGTCGCAGATTTTGTAATCTAATTTCAATGTCAAACAATTCAGTGGTGTTGTCAACATTTGAATAGGTTTTCCTTGCGGCATCCCAGATTCTTTTTCTCGTTTTGTACAGGAGGAAGTTATATGTTATTTTTGTGGTAATGGAGTTGACAGGTCATGGCATGACCATGTGTTCTTCAATATTTCATGTTTGATGTTTAGGATCAATAAATTCTAGTGCAGGATTTGCTTCGGTGAGATCATCTTTTTCTTTACCACAAATGTACATGCATGCAGATTGAGACCATTGAATAAATTTTTGTCATATAGTTTGTTATTGGTGATGCAGAAATAGACTTTAGATGCTGCAGAACCAAACACCCAAGTTTCGGGTTCAGACGTAACTTTTGAAGAGAAAGAAGCAGCTTTCATGTCATATTTAGTCATCATCAAAATTTCCACCGGAGAGACTAATTGTTTGTTGTCAATACAAGATTTCCAATAGATAAAGAGAATCTCTGTTGCCGACACAAAATTTCAATTGGAGAGGAAATTCTTTATCGTAGACAAAAGATTCATTGGAGACTATCTGTCACCGACACAAGATTTTCATCACAGAGATGAGGGTCAAACCCGATTATGACGCGCACAGGTCTTGGATTTTCACGAGAGAGAAAATTCCATTGGGATGAAGGATACGATCCACGGGAGAGCTCAGACCTAGCTGGGTGGATTCGATTTCCACTAAAACGAAAAGGAGAAAGTCTCATTCTCCTCCGAGAGCCAAGATGTTTGTTGTAGGACCAGAGGCAGACAATCGAATAGACCCACTGATGATTTCCACCAGAGAGAAAAATCTCGGTATTCCTATCTTTGCGGAAAGCTCCATGTGAAAAATAATAAGAGCCACGAGAGCTTACGGGAAATAGAGCGATGGAAGCACACAAGTAGCGAAAACTTGGCTAGCAGCTGTGATCCGGCAGGTGGAGGGAGCATGGAGTTGAGTAGAGCTTACAGGTTGCAGGGAGGATTCCAGCAGCTGAAGGGAGATCTAGAGTTCCTTCCATATCTCTGATACTATAGAATTTAAAGGAAAAACTTTCTTACCTTCTCATCAAACAAATAATAAATATATATACAGCTTAGACTAATTCTTGTACAATTGGAGAGAAATTCACATCATCATGATAAAAAGAAAGAGATAAAAATATAATAATGGATAACTAAGAGAGAAAAAATTTACCCTTCAAATGTAATAGCAAACACATAGTTTCCTAAATTGATTATGCATATCAACAATAAATATAAGCAGATACAGAGTTGAATATCATTTTCAGCGCTAAAATCAGCTGGATGAAGGGGATTGTTGCCAACCATTTTCCCCCTTACTGCAAGTATTGAATCAGGAGCTTAACTGAATTGGAAAAGCTCAATTTGGATCAAACAAAAACAATTGAAGGTTCTTAGCTATACATCGATTCTATCTTAACAAACATTACATGCACTCCAAAAGGCATGTAATGCATAATTAAAGAAAATACGCTCAAACCCTGATGCTAACATGCACATCAAACATTACATCGTCGTCTTAAGGCATTTAATGCATATTTATGTTCTGCTGCAAACTTGTAACGTCATACATTACATGTGCGCTCTAAAAGTTATGCAATGCATATTTATGAATAACAAGTTACATTTTGTTGCTAACATGTAATATCAAACTAAGTACTAAGTAATTCTTCACATATCTTAAGAACACTGAACCACAAAAACGTCAACCAACTGAATTTTATCATCCCAATAAGAATGTCCTGCTAAATCTTCATATCATAATTTGTTAAAGAAAACGTAGAAAAATTCTAAAACGTTTTTCAGCAGGAAGAAACTTATCTGACCATACAAAGACGGATATTGCACTTGGGTCCACTTTTCAATATCGTGAATGTCCTTGACAATATCTAAAGATTCAAAAGCAGTATCCAAATCAACACATCTGCCACCACCACCACCACCACCACCCAACAAACACTGTATGCACCACCTCCACCTTAGAGAGGTCAGCTTCACTTTCTTCAATGACCAATCTGCAATTTACTTGAAGAAAGGCTCTTCACACATTGAGAATTGGGACATAAATATAGAAAGACTCCAAATTGTATAATGATTGCATATTATAAGAGTTCTATTACGAAATGGCATAAGTTACAATGAAGCAAAAAATGCAATAATTTGCGCAGAGCTAATCAGAAAAACATCAATATATGCCCAAGCAATTTCTACAGAATGATAGCATAATATAAGAGCTCTATTACGAAATGGTATAACTTACAACAAAGCAAAAAATGCAATAATTTGCACATAGCTAGTCAGAAGAACATCAAGATATGCCCAAGCAAGTTCTAAAGTGAAGAAGAGAGGAAAATAATGCCTTATGAAAGGTAGAACCGGATCAGCACATCGTGTTCCAGATGCATTTGAGAGGGATGCATTCGAAAGGAATGCAATCTTATGAAAGGAAGAACCGGATCAGCACATCGTGTTCCAGATCGAAGTCTGTCTGCAGAATTTGCAAGTGAGCTTGCAAGACCACTCTGTCCGGCAGGTGTGATGAGCGGATAAAAAGATCTTAGAAGACGAGCTGCTGCACTCCATGCAGCAAGGGGATCCCCAGCACGAACAGAGGACATTAATATCTCCCTCAAAACAACCATTTGCAGAGTGCTCCATTGAGATTCAAACAAGGAAATTATGGACTGAGGGTAATTTTTTCCACTTTCAGCAGTACAAGATTCAATTTCCTTAAAAAAAATAAAATAATGTCAAAATTCGTTATTATTGTATAAATGGACAAAACAAAAAACAAGCTTATGCATCATAAAAATGTAAGGTCGTGAATAAGAACAAAAAAACAAAGAAGAAAAATGATCAATTTTTATACAACAACAAAAAAATAATTCCTTATTTCAGTTTGGTAAACAGCTTTCTGCAGAGAAAGTAATCTAAACAATCAGAGCTTAAATCATTATTGTTAAATCCTCATTTATCACCACGTTCTGAACTTCTATGTGAATTGATAGATTGAACGTATAGGAGAAAAATAAAGGATTCGAGCAAGCCAACCCCAACCGAAAACATAAAAAAAAAATCAGTACATTCGGTTCACTTTGATTTTCAGTTAGTTTACAATATTTTCTTTCCATATTTTCAAAAATGAAAAGCAGACATCAACGATGCAGATTGAAATTAAATTCAAGTAGGATAACTTCTACCTCTGATTATACTGAGCTTGCTGCGATCACTTTCTAAATGTTAATGTTTATGCACATAATTTTGTCAATAATGTATCTTTATTCTGTAATAAACTCCATCATAGATCAACCAACTGAAGTTGTCACATAACTGTCAAGTTCCTAAGGGCAAGTATTCAAAGCTTTGCCAAATTCCAACTAGACATGTAATTGGACCAAGGATTCAAGACCAAATTTGAACTTTATTTAGATAAAAACACATCACAACATTAATTAGTTAGGTTTTTGGGTCAAGCCAAATAAATAGAGATATGCTAGCTCAAATCCGACTTGAAATGTCAGTTAATTAAATTATAGATTGGGCAAGATGCCCGAGTAAAAATAAAAATATTAATTGAATTATCAAGCACAAGAATGGCTAAAATTATAAAAAAAACTTACATGGGGTGATCCATGTTGCTTTCGATTCGTTCCCCTCCTTTCCACATGGTAGGCCTTGGATGTCATCGACAAAACTTGCATAGCACTGATAGCAGCACTGACATTATCCTGTTTCAAGTATAGCTGGGCAACCTGCCTGGAGAAAAATGCAGCCTTGCGCTGATAACCAAGAGCTCCAAATAACCTAGCTATCTCAACATACAATATCAGGCAATCACTGGGATCAATCAGGGATTTTGCGCCATCAGAAGCATTCATCAAAAGTTCTACTACTTCCTTCACAAGATGTCGCCTGTAAAGTGAAGATTCACATCAAAGACTTAAGCATAGAGTTACAAACAGCTGAGAAATCAAAATAAGGCGCATATAAAGGCTGAAATATGAACTTTATTACCTAAACAATGTCGAAACATATATGAGATAAATTAAAAAAAATTCCAAGCCAGCCTACAAAATTTGGCAGGCCTAGAGCACGGTTAAGTGACTCACAGTGATCCATTGAGACCAAGAATTTGAATTGAGGAAAACGTTTTACTCTCTATGGATATTAGGATATCTACACCAATACGTCCCTATAATGGGAGCTGCATACATGTTCATTTTGCATGCTGCAGAGTTGAATTGTCCGATTGTAGATTTTGACATCATTTAAACACAGAAATTTGTTTCAAAGGCAAGCAAGAAAAATCTAGAAAAATAAATAACCTTTGAAAATGTCAAAACCTATCATCAGTACATTTGAGAAAAGCTCAACAAAATGATTATGTTTTTTAAGGATTCAAAAGTATGACAAAAAACAGAAAGTGATAATATACAAGCCTAAAAAGACAAAATTCACATGAGAGCCGGTCCCACAAATTACAAATATTGTATATTTCAATAGAATATATGTGTGTGCGCGCACGCAAACACACACACACGAAATTTCACACGCGCGCGCGCGCATGCACACACACACATTTATATGATAGGATCCGATGTCAAAATTGGCACATTTTTTTACAAAAATTAGATCATGAACTACTAGCACAACAATACCCCCCTTGGCTCACTTCTCCCGAGTCTTCCCGGTCATGGCACATTATTCTTGTCCAGTGTTGTCTCCCTCTGGACTTCCAATGTTTGGGCTTTAGGTATCATCGTGGTTGTAGCAATTCGATATGGCACTCCATCTATGATGCTCTTGCGGGCCTTCTCCATCTGGTTATCCTCCACCATCTGGGCTAGCTCTATCATCTCTCTTATTCTTTGCTATCTCAATAGTCATAGTGTTGCTTGTATGTCGGACTTTAGGCCCTTAATGAAATTTCCCTCTACCCCTAAATTGTCCCAACAAGAGTTTGAATCTCTCTTTATATTCCACAAAAATCTCATCCTGAGTCAAGTAATAGAATTGCTCATGTAGGTTTACTTTCAGAATGGCTCAGAAACGTTCTAACAAAAAATCAAAAATTCCTGCCATGAAAGGATCGAGTATCAAGTCTCCTTCCACTGAAACCAAGCTGGGGCTTTCCCCTCCAAACATAACCCTGCTGCCATGAGTTTCTCGTCTCCATCTCCATTCACCACGAAGTATCGCTCCACCCGATAAACTCACCCATGTGTGCCTTTTCACTTGAAGATTGACATCTTAGCTTCTTAACCCTAGTATCACCACTCCAACTTCCTCTTCTTTCGCGACTTTCCCCCATGTATCGAGGGTAAAACTCCCTCTTTCGATTATAGTCATGCCCCTCCCGATTTCTCTTCTTTCTTCTTTATGCCCCTCTATATCTCTTGCATAACCACTTCTCCAAGTTTCGGTCCATCAACCACCATCGAAAATCTCTAATCCACCCACCATCAAAGCCCTAGGATTAGGTTCTTGATGGTCAACGCTTTCCTCCTCATATTCATCTCGTCCTATCTATTTCTTTTTCGATTTAGCCAATGCATCTCCAATCAACCTTTAGGTAGGGTTTGCAAATTGAACCCTAACATGGCCTTGGATTGCATCTCAATAAGCTTCCTCCTCATCTGCTCCAATCTTTCGAATCAGTTGTCAATGCAAAAAACCTTTCCTTTGTCCCGGATTTAAGTTGCTCCACCCGGATTTAAGTTGCTCCACTTCTTCCTCCAATTTTTTCATCAAATTGTCTATTTTCTTGGTCGTCATTGCTTCTTGTCACTAGAGCACGCTCGATCCCAGATCCGGTCACTGACTTCAAGATCAAGATTAGGGGCACGCCCAATCCTGTCGCAGCCTTCCCCACTACAACCTGATCCCTTCTACTTCCCAGATAACTCCAATCATGATCATATTGCAGAGCTTCAATCACGACCATATACGATCTTGTCAGCTTCGCAACAAGCTCAAGTCACGGTGTATCGCGTTAATATAAGTCGCGATCCCGTCGACTCCCCAAGCAGACTCAAACAACGACTATGTGTGTCTTGTATGCAGTGATCCCGTTGTTCGCTACCCCCGCAAACTCTTGACGTTAGTTTTGTTCGATGCTTCACGAAGGAAAAGTCACAACTTTGTAAGCATCAATCATGCCCTCTATAAAACAGTGATCCCGTGAGTCTTCACAAAAAACAGATGACACGATCTCGTCATCGCCTTCCCCACCAATTGAACTCGCGGCTTTATTGTAGAATGGAATGGGAGGAGAAAGACATGAGTTTCGAGCGTTTGTACGCCAATTCCCAGTCGTTGCCTTCCCATCTAGCTTTGACCATGACCGCGTCACGTCTACAAAGCAAGAGGAGGTGAAAGATGGAGTTTCGGGGCTCGGTAAGCCACGATCCTTCGCGCTGGAACCTTTATAGCTAGCGTTGATCGTGAATGTACATGAAGACAGTGCAGAAGGAGGCAAAAGATGGAGTTTTGGGTCTCTGTACAACGCTTCACAATCGCTGCCTTCCCAGCTAGCTCTAGTCATGACTACTTTGCAAGGACGAGGCGGGAGGAAGAGAAAAATGGGAATTTCAGGCCTCTGTACGAAAATCTCGACTACAGAGTCCCAGACCCCGTCATTCACATACTAGGACATGCCGGAACAAGAAATCGTATTGTTGAAATCATCGCCCAATAAGTTCTGATTTGCTTTAGCTTCCGTTGAGTTGATCGATCCTCTCTTTTCATCAATCTGATTCCCAAAATCTTGAGCTCTGATATCAATTTGATACAATCCAATGTCAAAATTGGCACATTTTTCCACAAAAATTAGGACAAACACAAATTTCACTTCAGTAACACCAATTCATAATAATACAACACAAATGCGTAGAGGATAAACACCTTCAATTTGAGAGTTAGGTGATCTCTCCCAATTCCTACAATTCAAGAGGTAGGAAATCTCTCCCAAACCCTAAACTTAAGATTCACAACAATCTCTTGCCTAAACCTAACCCTAAACACAATAAGCATATTTATAGCCAACAATAATAATAATAGCTAAATTTCCCTTAAGCATACAAAAGACCAAATTACCCTTAGGCTAGGTATCAGCATAAAAATATATTGTGTATATGTATACAAGTACATAAAAATATAGATATACATAATATAAATATGTCTGTATATAAATATGTGCGTGTGCATATCTACATAGACATGTGTGTATGTGCAGGCAAGATACTACGCAATGCCATCAAGAATATAAGAAAATACAAAAAACTTAGCTAAAATTGATCACCTAGAGAAAATAAACTATGGAGGTGGTGGTAACTATTTCATTCAACTGATAATGAACTAAAGATAATGATAGGAGTCTCCTTTATTAAAAAAGAAACCCTAAAGTTACAAATAAATAAAGCAATGTGACACATAGGGAAATAAAGTCAAACAAAATAAAAGTAACAAGCCAAGAAATACATTCTAATGAAATAAATCCAAATATGGAATAAAGTCAAAAATTCCCTAAAAACAGATCTTTAAATAATAGATAATCACCAATCACACCGTCTGATGTAAGCGTAACATTTTTTACTTGGCATCAGTGAAATTACTGAAGTAAAAGCAAAAAGATTTTCCCAACTCAATATGCTACCAATTTCTACTCATCAAGCTTTACGGGGTCCTTTGAAAACCTCTGTAAAATCAATCATCTTAGCTTTGATAAGGACAAATCTTTGGCAGTAGAAACCCATTTGAATTTTTCATGCTTTAGGATTGTCATTAAATCACCAGTACAGAAACCAAAGCCTCTGATAAAATGATGATAGATAGTGGCAAATATATAAAAACTCTCATCATTAGAAACGAACTTCAGCAAAGGCCACTTAATAAAAGCCTCAAATTTTATGGAACATTTCCAAGTCCTAGAAAAACCACAAAATTAAGAAACAAAACTTGAGGTTGAAAAGAAGTACGTTTTTTGGGATTAACATATAACTCTTAGAACAAACTGCCTCCAACACAAGGAATAGATTATAGAGAAGTTTTGTTTTATATACATACTAAATGAAGATGTCATCAAAATAAATAAATAAATAACCTTAAATAAATAATTTTAAAAAATGGTTTGTTCATTGAAGTACAAGGCATATTAGAAAAATTACACAATATCACTGGTCATTCGAATAAGTCATGTTTTAAAAAAGTTTTCCATACATCTCCAAGCAAATCTAGATATAGTGATAGTTACATAAAAAGTTGATGTTAACAAGAAACAAGAAAATGAAATTAAATCAAACATTATCCAATCATATAATATGAAATTTACACCTAACTTTAACTTTGTTAATAACTCTACTACCAAAAAAATATATATATATATATGTGGATAGAAGTAATCCTCAAGCCCCGTGTATGCAGGAATGGCATAGGTATGGAGCCCCTATAAAAATATATGAAGTAGAAATTTTCCCGCCCATTGCTGCACGGGACCTGTGGGCTCTTGCTTATCTTATTTTGATTTATGATTAGGTTTTAATTTGTGTTTTAGTACAAGTATATTGCATGGAATGTGATTTTGATACTTTTGGTTTTTGATTAATGCAATTGAGATTATTTCTAATTATTTCTTGGCAATTATTGTATCCTTAGAATTTTCTTAGGTAGTATAACTATAGTCTCATTGGATCAAGATGGCGATGTTTCCTGTAAATTCGAAGAAGTCCTCGGTCACCAGTTTCACAGACAACCTGCAGTTTTCCTGTTCTAGTTTGCTGTCCAGCCACTGAGAACTCTGATTTCTCAGTCGCCACCATCTTTTCACCCTCCTTTTTCATCCTACAACTTACCTAACCCCTCTCTTGATCACTCCACACCTTCTAGTAACCCTACATCAGTATCAAGAAACCAAT